GTCTCTGTGTGGGGTCCATGTGTAACAGGAACAACGCTCCTCCGGGTCTCCCGCACTCAGCCCTTCCCCACGGCCACTGCCCTGTCCTGCCTTCTCTCCCACCTCCCTGGACTTCCAGACCTGGGCCCCGTACCCCGCTGTCCTCACACTTGCCCAGAACGGCCTGCGGATTTGGAGCATCCAAGCCTGCAGGGGCTGACTGCTTGCCACATCTGCCCCAATTGGCCCAGGATGGCCCCGGCTGGCCCCGGCTGGCCCTGGCTGGCCCAAGGCTGCTGCTAGCAGCCCCACAAGCACCGGACTCTGCATCAACCCCTGCTTGGCGGCCCATGGGGGGGTGACCTGGCTCTCTCACCCTGAGCTTGGCTTCCATACACCTGCAGCACCATGGGCCTCTGCACTCCTAAAGCACGCAGGCACTGCAGGCCCTCCCTGACAGGCACACGGAACCCTGGGAGTTAGGAGCCCCTGCCAGAGGCCCCCCCAACTGTCCTGCATGATGCTGTAGCTGCTTGCACCCCGCAGGAAAGGCAAGCTGACCGTGCTCATGCCCAGTGCCAGCCCCTCTGTCCACCACACCCACATGGGCCATCACCGCTGCCCTAAGAGTTGCCCTCTGCCCGTCTGCCTCAACCTTCTCCACTACCCAGGAGGGCCCAGCTGCCTGGGGAGGCTCTTGAGAAAGGGTTCCTCCAGAAAGTCAGAAGAAAGGCACCCCAACAGCCAGGACATCAAACTCACCCCAACACCTGGGGCATCACATTTACCCCAAAACACAAAACACCACACCCTAACAACGAGGAGTGTTACATCACCCCTACACCTTGGGTCACTCTACTCATCCAAACCTAAATGCTTTATACTCACCCCAACACCTCAGCATGTTACACTCACCCCCAAAACTTGGGGTTTTACATTACTCCCCAACATTTAAGGGGAGTGTCACAGCCAAACACCTTGAAAGTTCACACTCACCCCAACTCTTAAGCACATCACATTCACCCCAACTCCTCAGCATGTTACATCTGCTCCAAAAACTGGAGGTGATACATTCACCAGCACCTGAGCATTTACACTCACCCCAAAACCTGGGGAGGTCACATGCATTCCAACACCTAAGCACATCACACTCACCCTAAAACCTGGGGGTGTTGCATTAACCCAAACGCCTCAGCATGTTACAATCACCGCAACACCTGAGGGGACGTTCGTTGCACACACCCCAACAGCTGAGTGTGTCTCACTCACCACAACACTCTGGTTGTTACACTCACCCCAAAAACCGAGGGTGATGCAATCACCAACACCTGAGCATTTACACGCAACCCAAAACCTGGGGGGGTCACACACACTCCAACACCTAAGCACATCACACTCACCCCAACACCTGATCTTGTTATACTCAATGTAACACCTGAGCAAGTTACACTCACCTGCACACCTGAGGAGGCAATACACTCGCCACAGTACCTAGGCGTGTCACTCTCACCCCAATCCCTGGGCAACCTGACACTCACCACAACATCTGGAGGGGTGTTACAGTCACCCCAACACAGGGCGTGTTACACTCACCCCAGCAACCGAGTGCATTACATTCAGCCCAATACCCAGGTGTGTTACATTCACTCCAACAGCTGGGCAGCGTCAACTCACCCCAACATCCGGGTCATCACACTCACCACCAACACCTGGGGGTGTTACAGTCACCCCAACACTTGAGTGCTTTATTCTCATCCCAACACCTGGGGCGTTACATTCACCCCAACACCGAAGGGGCTTTAGATGGGTCCAATACGGTAGGGAGGAGATTGGGACCAAACACTCACCACAAGATGCCGAAGCTCCCATCTCCTGCAGCGACCCCAAACCCCAGTGGCCCACAGCAACCCAGGCGAACACCTCGAAGCCACCTATTCCACCTTCCACGAGTCCTGCACAGTTGAGGAGTGCTACGTAGAAGGCCTTGAGTGTGTTCGTGGGACGGAGCATGCGCACTGGATGAGGGAACACCCAGAGCATGCGTACAAGGTGCAACAACAGTAGCACATGCGCACTGGCCGCATGGGGCACAGCATTAGGCCTCGGCACGAGGCCACCTCCTTAAAGGATCCTTAGACGGCCCCGCCTTCGACCGGGAGATAGAGACCCCAGGTGAGCCTCGCTGATCCCACTCTCAGGGCCAGATTCAGCTCCGGCCTCGGGCTCCTCACTTCACCTTCCAGACAGCGGGGACCCTGGGGAGCTCACCATGATGGCTCAAGGGACTGGGGTCTCGCTACCATACATCCCCGCCCCCCACACCCCCCCCCCCCCTCCGGGCATTGCCTTTTGGCAGGACAAAGGAACCAATGTACCTTTATGCCATATTGCTCGGCTGAAGCTTTCCCTATGCTAATATACTGGGGTAAGACACATCTAAAATGAACCACTTTAACTATTTCTAAGTAGAAAATTGGCATTAAATATGGACTGCATGCCATGCACCCACCACTACTGTTCATCTGCAGGACAGTTTTCATCACACCCAACATAAACCCCATGCCCTTTAATAACTCCCTTTCGTTGATCCCCACATACCCTTAGCAATTTCTGTGTCCCATCTCTACACATTTGGCTGTTCTAAGCATCTCATCTAAGCAGATTCATGTATTTTTGCTTTTGCTTTTCCTTTCCTAAATGTTTCGCGGTACTTTCATACCAGTTTGTGTATATGCTCATGCTGATAGACCTTTCTGCCTCCTGACTGTTGTGGGCAATGATGCACTCACTGAACACTGCTGATTGTCTTTGAGTGCCAGATTTAACGTTTTGGCCTGTACCCAGAAGTGAAATTGAAGTATTGCATGGCAATCGCTATGTCCTTTACAGCAGTTGCGCCAGTTTACACTCCCATTGGCAACGTACAGTGGTGTCGCGTTCTCCCTAGCACCACCAACACTTGCCATTTTTATTAAAGAAGGTCATTCTACTTGGCAGAACATGTTATTTCCTTTTTAATAACATCAGGAAGAACAGATGTTTATCAGGGCTGAGCAGTTTTTAAACATGTATTTATTTTATTTGAAAGAGCCACAGACACCAGCACAACACACGGGCGCTGGTTCCTGTCCCAGCTGTGTCACTTCCCATCCAGCTCCCCGCTTGCAGCCTAGGAGAGCAGCAGAGGGTGGCTCAGGTGCTTGGAGAAACCACAAGCCTCTCTTGACAAGGTGGGTGATCCTGTGTTGTGGAGGAGAAGGTGACAACAGAGGGGCAGAGGCAACTCCGGGAGCAATTATGAATGTCTATGTAGGCATGGAGGACATGGGGGTCAGGACTGCCCACTGCCCCGGCCAGCTGGCCTTTCCTGTGCGGCGCAAGTAGCTTACCCATTACTGATCCTTCGCCCTGCCTCCCTCTTGCCAACTTCTAGTAATCACTATTGCTAGTTTGGATTGAGTGTTTAACTACCACAATGAGAGACAATATATAGTTTGTCTTTCTGTGTCATGGATTTCATTTAACACAATCTTGTTTGATCTGTTTTATCAGATGTAGTTCTGAGAAAATGACGATACACCACTTCTCCTCAAAATTAAAAACTTATAGTTTTCCACTACATTCTGAGGGCATTGCAACATAACAATGCACTACGCACTAAAGGAACGGTAGGTTGCAAATACAAAGAAACTGTAAATATACCAAGCTTACTTTATCCTTACTATATGAACATGTTTCACTATACCCAATTACAAACATACAGATACCATGCATTAAGCCAAATGTTATCGATTTAATGAAATGATTTAGGAGAAAAGGACCAGAGTTGTGGATAGGCTCAAAGGAACAGAGGCTGAATCTTCTTATATATGACAGGATCCCATATGGGCATCTATTCCTGTCTCCAGAGTTCCACTCCCCATCCAGCTCCCTGGTTGTAGCCTGGGAAACCACTAGAGGGAGGCTCAAAACCTCCACACCTGCACACACAGGAAAGACCTGGAAGAAGCTCCTGGCTCCTGCCTCCTGGCTCTGGATCAGCTCAGGTCTGGCTGTTGTGGTCATTTCGGGAGTTACCCAAATGATGGGTTATCTGCCCTCTGTCTCTCTCGCCTTCTCTCTGTGAATCTGATGTGCCTTTCCAATAAAAATAAATGAACCTACCTATATTTTTTTTAAAAAAGATTTATTTGGGCCAGCACTGTAGCTTAGCAGGTAAATCTTTTCCATGTATTCATTTACTTGGAAGGCAGAGAGGGAAAGCCAGAGAGATGCATCTTCCATCTGCTGCTTCACTCCGACGGCTACATCAGCGGTGCCGAGCCAGCCAATAGCCAGGAGCTTCTTCCAGGCCTCCCATGTGGGTGCAGGGGCCCAAACACTTGGGCTGTCTTCCACTGCCTTCCCTAGGCCATGAACAGGGAGCTGGATCAGAACTGAGGCAGCCAGAACACAAACTCAAGAGGCCTATGCTACAACGCAAGCCCCTGGAGTTGTCTTCTGACAGGCCTTCAAAAGTCTCTCCCAACGCCCTAGGAAGAGATCCGTCCTCTACTGCTGGGGACTCTTTGTCAGGAAAACTAGGGCAGGTTTGAAAACTTCAAAATTGAGACATAAAACGTCACAAACTCACTAGGGTGTCTCTTTATTCAAGCCTAACAAACTCATACCTTCAGGTGAAGCAGTTAAGATAAATGAAAGAAAGCCAAGGCCTTGATAGAATGGCTGCAGTTATTTTATTATATCTTAAAATCTGAAAACTGAAAAGCATAATATCTGTACAAACACCTGAGGACTGCTCAGCTGGGCACAGCATCTTCATACACAGAGTTTGAAAGAGCAAGTTTAAGTAAGAACCAAGTGGTACAACACATAGGGAATTACACACATGAATGATCCTCTAAAAATAGTTGCTCTTAGGTCTAACATGTATTTGGTTTCCTAAAAATAAAATGCACAGTCTTGCCCCTGGTGAACATACTATTGGCGTTTGCAACAAATGGCTAATATTTTTATAACTGCTTCTGGTAGCTTATCAACATAACACCAACATTATACAAACTAGTAACAGTACACACGCAGCACCATTTCCCCTTGAAAGTCCTAACTTCAACGGTAAAGCCTAAAACAGTAAGTCAGAACTAACGGCATCTTTCAAGTGAAGCAGAAATATGGCTCAGAACTAAGCAGATCGATCAGAAACATTGCATAGCACAGAGAATTTCCCTGTACGGAAACCAATCTACAGATCGTTTCCCATCCCCTGAAGAGTTAAGTTGAGAGGTACTGGTGATCACACACAATTTGCACTTTTTGCTGTTTTTTTTTTTTTAAACAAAATACAGCATCTAATATATACACAGCTCATCACCTCTGTGGCAGTGCAAAGTGCCATATTAAATTCAAAGAGAAAAGATTTGTGTGTATTCCTACAAGTATAGAATATATAAATATGGTAAAGGATCTGTATGGGGAATAAACAATACAATAAAATATATATATTTTATAAATTGGGACGCAGGTATCTTCACACAGAAATATGAGAAATAAATGCCTACTTCCTGCCCAAGCATTTAAAAAATGGGGAGCTTTAAAATATGTATCTTGTTGGAAAAATGTAATCATGCTCCAACCAAACTGCCCTTGTGGTTTAAATACTTCCTGCATAAAAGGATCATCCTTTCTATGCTGACTTTAAAACTGGATCAAAACCTGTAAGAACACTTATGGACGTTTATAAGCTGGCTTATTTCCTTTATATATGAACAAAACACACACAGAAATGATAACAGGAAGGAACTAATATCTACGGCTAGTATCTTTCTAGAAATTGGTAGAACATGAACAGACACTGCAGAATCAGGTAGGGAAAACATGTGAGAACGAGATGATATTTATGGGCACATCTAAGTTTTCTTCTGAGGAAAAATTCGCCTGAATTGTAATTACAGATGTTGCCAATCCCTGATATCCTACCCTTTGGGATTTAGCTGTTTGGTTCTAGACACAGAGATGGAACAAAGGGAAAAGTTCTCTTCTGTTCACTGCATGAAGCATATTTGTACAGTAAAAAGAGTAAGGCAAAGGACAGACTGCCAGTCTGTATATGTTAATCCTAAGATGTTAAACAGTTCTTAAAGCAGTAAAAACAAACAAACAAAAAAAAAGCCTCTTGTTAAAAATTGGACTGTTACCCTAATTTTTAATTCTGAGCAAATACTTTTATAGGAAACTTCTATGAAACAAAAACTTCACATTTTTAAATTAAACATTTCAGCAATACTCCTGAGAATTATATCAACTCTAAACTTAAGTATTTTTGTCACTGTATCTTCCTTCTCTCAGCTTATCAATGTAATAGCATAGCTTTAATGCTGGGCCCAGCTTCAACCCCATATATTTCATCATGACTTCACTCTTCAGTAATAACAGAGCCTTCCCATCGATTTCCTATAGAGAGAAGAATATTATAGACATTAATAATGGTTTCCTATATTGTTATGTTTATCCATAACATACATATTATAGATTTACATGCTAGACATATATTTTCTGAATGAAAGTCCTCAGAACTGTTAATCTAATTTGCAAGGTGAAATATCATTTCATAATTAAAATCTACTTCAAATTTTGAGAAAAGGGAACTTCAGTTTAGTAAGTTTGAAAAAATACTCTAGCTTTAACTAGCCTGTTGAATGAAATTATGACAAAAGGTCAAACGCTATGAATGGGAGAAAGCATTTCAGAGGGTCGTCAGCTTTCTGGGAATGGCTGGGACTATATCAGCAGCTTTGCAAACTGTAAATGCGCTATGCAGTTAAGTGTCTACAGCTAGTTGGATGCTAAAACTAGCTGATGATTTTCTCACCACACTGAAACGACACCATCAGACAGACCACTAACTTGACTCGCTGAAACAACACTATGAAAACATCACTTAACAGTCACAAGGCATCCTCCCCTAAAAGTCCTTATTTCCCTAATTAACCAGTTTATCTCACAGAGGCATTATCAGTTGGTATCCACTGAGCGCCTGGTTAAAAGCTGCGCTGAATTTTACACAACGTTGGGTTTTTTGCGTATACTATCAAGGCCACCCTCTGGGAGCTCGTGGGCATGCCCCCTCCTGTGCCTGGTCTGAGGCTGGGCAGAGAGCCGGCCGGGGGAGGGGGGGGGCTGCATCTGCCACCACACAAGGGTGGCCCACCTGGGAGTAACAATGCTGATTGTTTGGCTCTTGAGAGCCTGAGGCTGCTTAGTGCATGGGCCACTTGAATGCCCGGTCACAGAACAGGCCAGGAACTCATCACCTAAGGACCCAGCAATGGGCCAAACAACCTTTGTCTTTTATGGAAAGATCCCTCGATAGGATTCCCTCACCACCCAATTGAAGGACCTTTAAAAAATCACTCGAACACTTGAAGACATCTGACAGGAAAGCTGAGTCAAAAGATACATTACGTGTATCCTGAAGAGGTCAGTGATGGGAGCTGGCATTTGAGGATCTTTGGTTTTCATATATTGGATGACTTCATCCACAGACCAGCTGGAAGGGTGCTTAGATAGGCCGTGTTTTGGGGTACTGGCATCTGGTATAGTTGTGGAACTTGCAGCTTCAATGGGAAGGAGAAAAAAGGACAAATCATACTTGACCTGGTTGTTTACCTGAAAGAATTTAGGAAGTACCAGCTTCATTCTTGGAACTTTCTATTGTGTATACAAGTAGGCATTCATGATTCTAACTATAATATCTAGTGTAAGTCTATATTAAAATGTTATAAATAGAACTATGGAAGTGTGTCCTATCTGACTAAAAGGAGAAATGCTGCTTCAGGAAGTAATAAAACAGAATGTGCATTCAGTTTTCCTTGTTCATAAATAAATATAACAAAAGATGTTACTTGAATATAAGTAGGTTGGTCAAATCTAAATTACTCTTATTCCAATGATTTTTCTGAATCTTCTTTGTCTCTTTCTTGGTCTACATATAGTTAACTTCACTTACAATGGAAATTCTTGTAATATATAGTTTCCTAATTGCTGCAATCTGTACTCTCTAACCAATGAGTTTCCATAACCTATTACGTTTCATAAACAAAGTAGTTATTTTTCCAAATCGCTCCCATGTATTCAGCATAGATAGCTTTTGCATCTCTTTCACTCTCTAGACTATTATTGTTTATGACTAAATACTTACCTGAATTTTGAAGAAATGATTTTCTTATGATGTAGATCAAATACTCTTAATATTTTAGTTAATCCTTTTTTCATGTTTACTATTATAACATTGAGGCTATGCTTGAAGGCTTATGTTGCTAAGGGAAAGGGAGTCATGAAAAAATCTCAAGGGTCAGAACTCAGCAGGTTTGGGCTATGCTGTGAAATAACTTGCACTTAAATATCTTTGCATTTCCACAAGTCTTCAGTTACTACAACAGAGCAATGGAGTCCCTCAAATCAGTGTGTGGTAACTAAAGGCAGTTTTATACTTCTCTAGGAATAAGCATTTTTCTAGCCATGGACCATCAACAAAAACATCATGGATTCTTTATGCCAATGAACCAAAGTAATGGTCTTTGACGTCCTATCATCCAAGAACTGGCCATTTAAGGAACATGTTCCATATTCAAACAAAGGAAGGGCAAAGAGAAAAAAAAACCAACCACACAAACATACAAAAACAAAAAATAAAATAAAAACCAGAATATTAAAAAAGGCTCACAATAATTCTTTTTGTGTAGAGATCACAAATGTCTTTCCAGCATCACAAGTTAGACATAAAACAATACCTCATTTACTGAATCATGCCCTGCTTCTATGTGTCAGAAGAAAAAAAAATGTGAGGAAAAGAAATGTTGCTTGATTGTATGAAGCTAGGAGGAAATCATGACGTGGAGTCTATCCTCCGATAAGGCATTCTGATAATTTAGACACAAAATCATCTCCTTTTATATCAAACATACTACATATAATGGATGGGTGCCTAATCATATCTCTAAGTTACGTTTTTGTGATATTTATCACCTCTCTCATCAGTCTGGTATATTTTTGTTTTGAGTAACATGTAACGAGTACTATGGAACACACTATGTAAAACTATGTAGGAAACAATAGCTGTAGAAAAACATGTCACAGATATGTGCAGTAGTATGGCTGCCCAGAGATAACATCAACGACGAAGGGCATGGGGTCATTCCTACCACCGTCACTCTTCATCCTTGCCACGATGCTTACCTGGAGAAAAAGCACAAAACACGTACTTGCACCCTCATTCTCTTAGATGCTCAATTCTTAAAAAGGCAATGTGGGCAGTAGCCATTTCTGCACATGGCGAACTGTTCTGGCTCCTTCCAAGTGGCATCAAGATGCTGCCCTGGTTGTTCATGCCAAGACTCTCTAGTGGGACCGGGGGAATGACAGAGGATGTGGAGATGATGTGGGGCCCTAACGTAAGAGTCAAACACAGGCTAGGGCCCACACAGTTCTCCTGGGAGATCAAGCAAAGAGTACATCAGAAAGAAGGGGACGAATGCTTCTTTCTAGTCCTCAGAGTCATGGCAGGCTTGTGAGTTCCAGCAGTACCCCCAAAATGACAAGGTACAACTTCTCAAGAACCACTGAAACACAAAATTGTTCAGTGACACGGTGGGTGATCCAGGTCCCTAGAGACAGTTTTGTGGATTCACGAGGACTAGAGCAGTCATAATGGTTTGGCCCTAACAGTGCTGTAACAAGGGGAAGACCTGCCTGCCACACTTGGGCAAGACTATCTCCCACGTGATACAACCTCAGGGGGCTGCTGGGCTTAGTAACTGCAAGGGAAAGACACAGAAATTGGTTGCAAATCACTGTTTCTCCTGGGTGGTTGGAAGGGGTGTTTACTATACCTTCACTTTTCCTCTGCATCTGGATTTCAGTCTCCTGGGAACTGCTTTTGGCAGAGTTGTTGTTCCCAACTGCTTGCGAACTCAACACGTCTGGCACATTTTCAGACATCATCTTGCAGACTGTAGTACCAGTATGGGTAGAATCTCCACCCGCAGAAATCAGAGAATTTCCAGAAGTCAGTGAAGTGTCCACTCCTTTTTCTGGAAGCTCCTCCGCTCTGGACGTGTCACCTCCCTTGGCGGACAATAGCTCTTCTATTGCGAAAAGGAAAATGATGGTGCTCTTCAGCAGACTTATAGCTCAAGTACTTGGCAAGGAGGGGATCTCAGCTCCAACGGTTCACCTAACTCGTGCCATACGAACCACAAATCTCTTAACATAAAGTACGTGACCATCCCCTCCTTGCCATTTGCACTAACGCATACCGTCCTGAAACCCAAATTCATTCTGTAACATCACCTATCAAGTTCATGGAAAATAGGATGAAAAGAGAAGTAGTTTGGCCTAGTTGCTAAGATGCCTGCTGGGCATCTTTGGGATTGCTCAGATTGGCTCAGCTTAATTTGTTGCAGAACAACCTGGATTATTTCCTTTTTTTATTCTTATTTTCCATGTTACAGATTTGTAGGTAACTGCCACATTTATTTGGACAAATGCACCTCCCTACTCTCCACGATACAACCCCTCCCAAGAGCACACCCATGTGGTGACAGACGAACTCTCCTTCTCAGTCTGGGTACCACTGAATGCTATTTACCTGAAGAGACATTGATGTTCATCACTGCACGCTTAGGAGACACGGGCACGATGTAAGGAACCGGTGACTGAGCACAACGTTTGATGGTATTCTTTCCATTCCTTTCTTCCTGTACTGCTTAAAAATACACACACACACACACACGCACACTGCTTTAATTGATATTCTCGGGGATTTTTCAAGCCTCATTATGAAATACTCTTATTTCTGCTGTAATCATACTGAAGAATTAAAAGCATTTCCAGGAACATGTTTAGGCTCCATTTGTTCTGGTCTCACCAGATCTCTCTAACCATGCCAGAAAGCAGGAAGACAGCCCATTATAATGTGTCTTCAAGGCACTAGGAAAATTGCACACATGAACAAAAGGAGAAAAAAGGTAAGACAGGGTAAGGAGAGAATATGACACAATGGACAGTATTTTAACAATTCTGGCCTAAGGATACCCCTATGACAACTCTACCACTTACCGATCAATCAAATGCATTTCTACCTAAAGGATCAGCCTTTCAAAATGTGGTTCTGGAAGGAAAAATGGTTATCTAAAATGCTGGCCCTCAGAAGCGCTTCAGACTTGGGAGCTTCATGCATTCTGGAATACTTGCGCAGACATCACTGTTGAAGATCTCTAATCCAGAGATGCAAAATTCAGAACCTTTAAAAAAGCTGCCATAATCCTCAAATAGCTTTGAATCTTTTCTAAAAATGTTTACCCATTTGAAAGAGTTACAGGGGCAGAAAGGGAAAGACAGGGAGAGAGAACAATCTACCATCTGCTAGTGCACTCCGCAGATAGCTGCAAAGTGGCCAGGCCAAAGCATTGAGCTTCCACTGAGGCTCCCACATGGTGGCAGGAACGCAAAGCCATGGGCCTGCTGCTGCTGCTTTTGCCAGGCCACTGACAGGAAGCTGGATAGGAAACGGAGCAGTTGTGATATGAACTCGAGCCCCTGAGGGATGACAGTGTCGCGGGCACGACACCACAACACTGGTCCCAAAGTGGTAGATCTGTTTTTAAGCATTTCCTATTTACAGTTTTGGGTTAGGCTGTTTACCCTGTCCATCCCCAATATCAACTAAGGTCTTAAAGGCATAACAGACATCTTCAAAGTCTGAAAATGGACCTCAAAAAGGAAAACAGTTTGTGTTAAGCAAGTGCCGATGTCAAGCTTAATCAGATTCAAAATTCTGACTGAACCCCTCTCAACATCATATGATGAGCAATCTTTAGCAACCCAGTACTGACTGATAATCACAGCTCAGGAGAACTCTTACCACTTCAGTTTTAATGTTAATCATGGGTTACGAAACCAACAAGCAAAACAAATAAATCAATCTTTTCTATGTATGTACACAGACACACTCACACGTAGATAAGTGGCTTCTACAGACATCTGCTAAACTCAGAACCTTACTAAGAACAGAAAAACTATTCTTTATTTGCATTAATGCTTTCTAGAGGAAAATCTATTCAGCTGGTATATGGTCTAGCATCTGGACTGAAAAAAAGCAAACTCATCCTTGAGCTGGGCTTCTGGATATATGGCAAGCTGGGGCAAGAAAGTGTTCCAACAGAGAAAACAAGGGAAAATGAGATAGCTCACAAAGAAATGGAGCTCTTCATAGAGGGGCACTTCCCAGTGATGAATGAAAGACCTCTAAAAAAAATCCATTCCACACGAAAACACTGTGCACACGGCAAAAGCTGTTTATCCTTTTAAAATTGGGGAAACTAAAGACGTTGCCAGAATCCACAGTGCATTTATTCAAGAAAAATGGGTGAAATTTAAAAGAGAAAAATTTAATTCTGTGACATTTTAAACTTATTCTAATATAAGCTTTTTGATTCCATTCTCACGTTATTCTTCCAAGCCACAGCGCATCATTACAGCAGACATAGGAAGGCACAGCCCTGCATCTCTGGGCCATAATGAGCCACAATGAGCTTACCGCTCCGTGACATCCCAGCCCTAGGAACCTTGCACCTTATCATCATCCCGCTTGTCGCTCATGACAAGTCCTTCTCAGGGCTTCTCTTGATTTGACCTGAATCAAAGCTTGTTTTGTGTGAATCATACTGTGCCCAGGATATCTGTTGAGGGGAAAAACTTGGCTATTGTTTAACTTTGCATTTTCGGAGGCTGTACTACTAGCTGGAGCTAAACGGGGTTAATCAAAAACATGAAAGGCAACACAGCATAAAACGAGGTATCTATTTGGGAACTCTGATGAACACTGACGGACCTCCTGAGTCTAGAAAGTGATGTGCTTACCCAGGAGTGAGGTAGGAAGGTTTTTGTCTTTCAAGCCTGCAGGAAGTCCGACTTGCAGTCTCGCCAGTGGAAGTTAGGAGCTGACATATGCAGACAAGCTCCAGTAAGACTGGCAGAAGTACCTTTTCTATGAAATCCTGTCAACTATTAGATTATCACTAAGTTAACTGAGCAGATTCCAGTAGCCACACGTGAGAAAGAATATAGAGTTTACAGAATTAGTCCAGAAAAGTCACTAAACAAAAGTACCAGCAAGAAAGCAACCCCCAGAGAGGGATAAGGTATCTGATTTCCGGAGTTGCCTCAGTATAGTATTTTTTAAATGTCCAGTTTCAACTAAGAAGTTATAGTCTAAGAAATAGAGAAGTATCAATCATACACAGAAAAAAAATCAGTCAATAACACCTCCCCTAAAGCAGCAGATGTCAGATTCACTAGACAAAGTCTTGAAATCAGCTACTATGATTGTGCTCAAAGAACTAAAAACATTATGTGTAATGAACTAAACGAAAAATAAAAATAAAAATCACTCAGCAAATAGGAAACACTAACATAAAAAAGTAGAATAAACTAAATAGAAACTTAAAAGTTGAAAATACATAAATGAGGGACTGGCGCCATGGCTTAGCTGCTAAAGTCCTCACCTTGAAAGTGCCAGCATCCCATATGGGCGCAGGTTCTGGTCCCAGCAGTTCTACTTCCCATCCAGCTCCCTACTTGTGGCCTTGGAAAGCAGTCGAGGATGTCCCAAAGCCTTGGGACCCTGCACCCACGTGAGAGACCTGGAGGGGGCTCCTGGCTTTGGATCGGCTCAGCTGCGGTCTTTGCGGCTGCTTGGGGAGTAAATCAGTGGATGGAAGATCTTCCTCTCTGTCTCATCTCCTCTGTGTATATCTGACTTTCCAGTAAAAATAAATAAATCTTCTAAAAAAAAAAGATCAACTGAGATTATACAAGCTAAGGAACAGAAAGAGGAAAGGAGGAGGAGAAATGAGCAGACTTGCAGATGCCTGTGGGCCACCATCAAGCATACAAGATACTACAGACAGAATTTGTCTCTTAAGGAAAAAAGAGAAACAGTCAAAACAAATTATCTGGAGAAGCAATGCTCAATAGTTTCCCAGACATGATGAAAAATATTAGCTTGCACAAACAAAAAGCTCAACAATTCCAACTAGGATGAAAACACAAGAGTTCCACACTTCCTAATTGGATTCCTATCTCACAACATAAACAAAAATCTACTCAAAATTTATCACTGAGCTAAATGGAAAACCTAACATATAAAATTCTAAGGAGAAAATAAAGGAGTAAATCCTTGTTCACCTGGATAAGCCAATGATTCCTCATGTGTGACATCAAAAGTATAAGCAACTTAAAAAAATAGACAAATTTAACTTTACCAAAATTAAAACTTTTGGGCTTTAAGAATACCATCAAAGGTGCCAGTGTTTTGGTATAGAGTAAGTTAAAACATGATCTGCAACATCAGCATCCTATGAACATGCTGGTTCAAGTTCTGGTTGCTCTGGTTCCAGTCCAGCTCCCTGTTAATGTATCTTGGAAGACAGTGGTCTATGGCCCAAATATGTGGGACACTGAAACCTAGGTGGGAAAACCTGAACAGTGTTCTAAGCTCCTGGCTTTGTCTTGGTGTAGCCCTGATCACTATGATATGTGGGGGAAACACCTGATGGAAGACCTCTGTCTCCCTCTCTGTCATGCTGCCTTTCAAAAAAATAAAAGAATAAACACAAGAATAATAACTGACAGCATCATCAAGAAAGTTAAAAAGTCAATCCGAAGAAGGGATAAAATACCTGAAAGTCATATATCTAAACTCTATATAAAGCATTCTTATGAACTAATGATAAAAGAACCAAATTAAAAATGAGTGCAGGATTGAACAGATAATCCTGCCAAGAAACTATACAAATAGCCAAGAAGCATAAGTGAAGTTACTCAACATCAGCCATTAGGGAAATCCAAATTGCACCACAGTGTGATACCAATTCATGCTCATCAGGATGGCTACAACCAAAAAAACAATAACTGTACCAATGAATAGAAGACATTGGAACCCCCTCAGACTGCTGATGAGAATATAAAAAGCACAGCCTTTGTCAATTTCTCACCAAATACAAAGTTACCACAACATTCAGCAATTCCACAACTAGATTTATACTCAAGAGAATTAAGAACATACATCCACAAAAAGCTTGTACACAAATGTTCACAACAATATTCCTAATACCCAAAAAGTGGATACAATCCAAAAGTCTATCAATTGACACGTTAATAACCAAAACGTGAAACAGACACTCAATACAGTATTTTTCAGCATAAAAAGGAATGAAGTACTGATACACACTATCAATAAGCTTCCAAATAAGCTTCCAAATCCAAACTACGCTAGGGGCTAGCACAATGGCTCATCTGGTTAATCCTCCACCTCAAACCACCAGCATCCCATAAGGGTGGTGGTGGTTCATGTCATGGCTACTCTGCTTCCCTTCCAGCTCCCTGCTTGTGGTCTGGGAAAGCAGTGGAGGACGGCCCAAAGCCTTGGGACCCTGCACCTGCGTGGGAGACCTGGAGAGGCTCCTGACAGGAACCTTCAGATGGGCTCAGCTCCAGCCTTGCAGCCATTTGGGGAGTGAGCCAACGAATGTAAGCTCTTTCTCTCTGTATCTCCTTCTCCCCATAAATCTGATCTACTGTTACAACAAAAATAATCTTTTAAAAAACATTTTTCAAAAGAAGCACTGGCTTCAGATCAGCTCAGCTCCGGCCCCTGTGGCCATTTTGGGAGTGAAGCAGTGGATGGAAGATCTTCCTCTCTGTCTCTCCTCTCTATAAGTCTGCCTTTCCAATTAAAATAAATCTTTTAAAAAATTATGCTAATTAAAACATGCCACTCACAAAATGCTATATATTACATGATTCCATTACTATAAAATGTCCTAAATAGGTTAAATTCACAGAGACTAAAAGTAGTTGAATAACTTCTACAGGCTAGGGGTGGGGAGATTGGGGAATGACTTAAAATGGATGCAGTTTCACTCTGGAATGATGAAAACATTCTGGAATTTAAACAATTCTAAATTACATAGGATTCTCAAGTTAAGCATAAAATATAAAGCAGGAGTATAATATAAATATATTGTCTCCCACCTGATGTATTTTGATCATTTTTTGCAGGGCTAGGAGTATTACTACTCTTGTAAGAGCTGAAAGGCTGGCTACTCAAAAGGTTGTCACACTCCATGCTGTGGCATAAATTCTCAAGAAAGCGGAGAGCAAATGAAGCACTGTTCACAGGAGGAAGCTGGATGGAATGAGTTTCCCCATCAAAGGAGGCTATTGGGGGAAAAAATGATGTCAGAACCATCCCTCAGAAAGATGAGAAATATAATGCTAACAAAAATTCAGATCTATTCAGGAAACACAGTCTGATTTGTGATTTTTATAATTCATAAAAAATAACCTTCTGATAGTTTCTCTCATCCAGATATAACAGCACACACTAGTTTTAAGACAAACTTTTCACTTAAAATAGTTACAAAGCAAACAACAGCAATAGAAATCCACTAATCTTTAATAACACTTCTTTTCATTCCAAATATTCCATGGGTACATGTTATGATAGCCAATCACAAACTCATGGAAACTATCAATTTTATTTTATCATTTAATTACTTAAGTCACATTTTTATTTAGAGTATTTAGCAAATTTAAAATACATTATCAGCCTATAGTAAGCTAAACATAGTATGTAAAAAAGGAAAAACCTACACATTTTTTATCTAGTATTACTCTGACATCATTTATCTACTTTGAAAGTAAACTTTCTAATCCAGAATTAAAAGTCTGTAAATGGGCACTAAGGCATACCAAGTAAAGCTATAGCCTGCAATGCTGGGCTCCTACATGGATGCTGCTTTGAGTCCCAGCTGCTCTACTTTCCATCCTGCTCCCTGCTAATGCGCTTGGGAAAGCAGTGGAACCCAAGGGCTCAAGCCCCTGCACCCAAGCGGGAGACCTGGAAGGAGCTCCTGGCTTTGGCTTTGGCCCGGGCCAGCCCCAGCTTTTGCAGCCATTTGGGGAGTAGACAAGCAGATGGAAGATCTCTCCTTCTCTTTATAACCCTGCCTTTCAAATAAACAAAATAAAATTTTAAAACAAACAAAAGTCCATAAACATACAACTATTCTGTTATATCAATATAATAAATATCACAATACCATACTTAGTATAATATAAATATTATAAACAATGCATGTACTACAAAATCCCAACCTTCTCTAAACTTAAAAGATACTGAACAATGACTAGATGAACATACCAGTTATCACTTCTCCTCCACGATTATCTGGCTTCAGGAATCCAAAAACAGTCTTAGACTGAATGGCACAGTCCACACAGGCCTGCACGGTTCGCCGCAGCACCACGTTCACAGGGCCCGGACCAAAGTGGTCAGGCAGCTGCTGGATTTTCTTAGGATCCAGATGAGGACCAAAGTTTCCATGTTTGTTTATATAGACACAGACTTTAGGAAAAATGTGCATATGAATATAAATGAGACTGATTAAAAGGAGTTTTGTGAAAATGCTTATATAATTATTACATCCCAGTGGCCGTTTCACTCAAAAAGAATCAAAATATAATTATTATCAATGATCACGTCTCCTACATGAAAATATGTTGGTTAAGTATATTTTCATATGTGATATTAAACATACAAAGAAATAATTAAGGAGTTGGCTTTGCGGCATAGCTGGGAAAGCCACTGACTGACATCGGCATGCTCTACAGGTGCCAGTTCTCATTCTGACTGCTCCATTTCTTTTCTGGTCCAGCTCCTGAATGGCCTGGGTAAAGTGCTGCAAGGCAGTCCAAGAGTTTGGGCCCCTGTCATCCACATGGGAGACTTGGCTGAAATGCCTGGCTTTGGCATGGCGCAGTACTGGCTGTTGCAGCCATTTGGGGAGTGAGATGCTGGATGGAAGAACTCTTTCCCTCTCTGTAACTCTTTCAAGATAAATAAAAATACTTTTAAAAAATTAAAATTTACTTTTAGAATTCTATCCAATCAGATTATACATAAAACTACAGAAAGTTTGGGAGCTTTACAAAAATAATTCTTCAGGGCCCAGCACTGTGGCCTAGCAACTAAAGTCCACGCCTTGAACACGCCAGGATCCCATATGGGCACCGGTTCTAATCTCAGCAGCTCCACTTCCCATCCAGCTCCCTACTTGTGGCCTGGGAAAGCAGCTGAGGACGGCCCAAAGCTTTGGGACCCTGCACCCGCATGGGAGCCCTGGAAGAGGCTCTGGGCTCCTGGCTTTGGATCGGCTCAGCTGCGGTCTTTGTGGCTGCTTGGGGAGTAAATCAGTGGATGGAAGATCTTCCTCTCTGTCTCTCCTCTTCTCTGTATATATCTTACTTTGCAATAAAAAATGGATAAATCTTTAAACTCTTCATACACTCCCAAATAAAGTAGTACAAAGATAGGTGAATATTTTTACTTTTTAATTATACACACAGTGTAATAATTTCCACTCATAACTGGTCATCTTGGAAAATTTGGATTTGGACTGAATTTCTTTTAAATTCACAATGGTGTACCTTAACTGCTAAAGAAAAAAAATAATTTAAAGCAAGTTCTTATGACACAAATTTCTTTCATTAGATTTAAGAAAATAGGACTGTTCCTTGGACTCAACACAAGCAAAGCTAAACAAGTATTTCAACATTTTTCCTTCTTTGTGTAGCAGAGGTTGAATATCTCTTACCCCAAATTCCTGGAATCAGAATTTTTGAAGTATCTATACCTTGGTGATAGGACTCAATCCTAAACACAAAATTCATCTATGTCTCACACATACCTTACACACATAGTCTGAAGGTGATTTTACACAGTTTTACTGTACCTGTGTTTTGAATATAACCCATCATATGAAGTCAATGTGGAATTTTCTGCTTGTAGCATCAGGCTGATGCTCAAAAATTTTGGATTTTTGAGGCATTTCAGATTTTGAGATTAGGGATGCCTAACAATCTGTATTCATTCATTCACCTAGTCTCTCCTATTAAGGGAATAACAACCAGAACTGTAAAATGAGAATAAACTATAAAAAAAAAAAACCTTCATTTTAAAAAACTTAATTTCTAGTAAAGAAAGAAAAATGGGGGGGGTTCAGAGAATAGAAAAGTACAAGGTAGATAATGAAGGACTGAAGCTAGGAAGCAATAAAGCGTGTTTAAAAAAAAACAGGAAAAGAGAAGAAAATATATAGGAGATGATAAAAGGTATTAATTTATCTAGGTTTGTGCTGTTTCAACCTTTTCATAGCAGGGAGCAATGTGAAGGCTGTATGTTAGGGTTGTTACTGTGGGGTAGATTAAGTTGTTGCCTATGATGTCAGCACCACAGCTTCTCTGCTTCTCTGCTAATGTGGCTGGGAAAGCAGTGGAACATGCTCCAGGTACTCGGGCCCCTGTACCCATACAGGAGACCCAGACAAAGCTCCTGGCTCATCCCTGGCTTCAATTTGGCCCAGCCCTGGCCTTTGCAGCCATTTGGGGAGCGGACCAGCAGATGGATGATCTGCATACATGTGCGTGCATCTGTGTTCTTTCTGAATTCTAGCTTTCAAATATATAAATATATATTTTTTTAAGTCTATGCCTCTGACAGAGAGAAAGCAAGACAGGAGACACTGGGAAAGATCTTCCATTGGCTGGTTTAATCCTCAAATGCCCACAACAGCTAGGGCTGGGCAAGCTGAAGACAGGAGCTAAGAACTGCATCCTAGTCCCCCAAATGGGTAGCAGGGGCCCAATTACTTGGAACATTATTTATTGTCTTCCCAGGCTGATTAGCAGGAAGTTGGATCAAGAGTAGCTGCGACTCAAACTCATACTCAGATGTGAATGCTACCATTGCAATCTCAGATTAACTTGTTGCACTACAATATGCCCCAAGAAAAAGTATTTATTAAAAGCATTTTATAGAAAGGTTTGAAGGGGCAGGCATCGTGGAGCATCTGGTAAAGCCGTAACTTGCAGTGCTGCAATCCCATGATTTATGTCTTAGTTGCTTCATTTCCAAACCAGCTGCACGCTTATGGCTTGGGAAAGCAGAAGATGGTCCAAGTGTTTGGACTCCTACAACTCATGTTCCTTGGACTCCTGGCTGGCACAGGGGGCCCTTGCAGCCACCTGGGGAGTATACCAGCAAACGCAGACCTCACTCAATCTTATAAACTCCTTTTCTCTCTACAACTCTTTCAAATACATTTTTAAATAAAAAGAAATTTTAAAGTTGCTTCTGAAAATACGGGGAAACCCAGCTTTAGTCTGGCCCAGTTGAATCTGCCAGCAGATGGAAGATTCCCTAATTCCTTCAAATAAATACTTAGAAGGAGGAAAAAATGGTTTGAAGTAGCTTTGAAAATATGTCATCCTGAACTGCAGCGTTAGGTTGAGTCCCAGCTACTCTAATTCTCAACCAATCTACTGCTAATGTTCTTGGGCAGTCAGCAGAAGATGGCTCAAGTACTGAGCCACTTCCAGCCATGTGGGAGATCAGATTAGAGTCCCTAGCTCCTGGCTCTGGAGTGGCCCAGCCCTGGCTTTTGTAGTCATTTAGGGAGAAAACCAGCAGATGAAAGATCTCTCCCTGTTTTGCCTTCTTTCTGTCACTCAGTCTTTCAAATCTTAAAATAAAAGAAAATACAATACAAAAACAGATTTCAAAATGAGATAAAGAGTAAATAGCTGATTTGACAATGATATAAAAACTCATTTCAATGCATAAAATATTTTAGGATATTGAATTTTCAAGCTTCTAATGAGGCTAAACCTATAAGGGCTCTTTAGAAAACTCATGGAAAATGCATATTATTTTAAAATATGCATAAATTCAAAACTTTTTACATCAAAATAAGTTTATATTTCATTTTTTATAACCTGTCTGAAATACTCTCATATTTATGCAGAGTGTTCTTCCCTAACATCAAACTGATCAATCAGCATTACAAAATACTTTAAATATGAAAAGTGCTAAAAGAAGTGTTTGCTATCATCATCCTTATCTCCCTTCTCTTAATTCCAGGACATCAAAGAACTCAAAATCATACAGATTAAAGACTGACAATTTTATACTTTTTAAAAAAATACTAGCATACCTGTAGACATCACTATTTTAGATGCCTTAGGGGAGACGTTAAGTGCCTTGTTACTTTCTCTGATCAGCGTAGTCAAAGAAGTTGCAGATGTAGAACACAATACAGGAATAATTTTTTCCTGAAAAAAAAAAAGAAGAAAATAAGTATACATTTTTAAGAATCTCCTAGATAACAATTCAGAAAATTAGAAACTTAGATGCAGTCTTGGTTCACAGCATTTTCAGTTGTCAGAAATCTTCAGCGTTGGAATTCCTGTGTGAGTCATGAGCCGTAGTACTTTCTAAAGCGAGTCTTTCCGAGGCACACAAGCTATCCAGGCCAGGAAAGCAGAAGCTGAGAGGCTGAGACTCCAAGCCAGCACACCGTAGGTAGATGATTTCACCCTGTAAAACTTGCTTTAGTTTTTGAGTTGCCATATAAGACAACTTCTTTCATGGCACTAAAGCGAAGACTGGGGGTTGGTATGGTAGCATATCATGCTAATCTTCCATCTGCCGTGCTGGCATCCCGTACTGGGTGCCAGTCAGTCCTAGAACAGGTGCTCCACTTCTGATCCAGTTCCCTACTAATGGCCACAGAAGGCAGCAGAAAATGGTTTAAGGGCCTGGATCCCGGCACCTACACAGAACACCTGGAGGAGGCTCTAGGCTCCTGGTTTTGGACTGACAGTTCCAGCTATTGTGGCCATTTGGGGCATTGACCAGCAAGTGGAAAATCTGCCTTTCAAATAAAAAAATAAATTCTTTTTTAAAAAGACATAATTCTACTCTTTTCTGGTCCCAAAGGTTTTTGATGAGACATGCCAGCTTCCCATATGGGCACCAGTTAAGGTACAGTTCAAGTTCCAGCTGTTCTACTTCTTCTCCAGCTCCACGCCACCCACATGGTGGACTTGGGTGGAATTCCAAGTACCTGACTTTGGCCTGGCACAGCCTTGGCCACTGCAGCTATTTAGGGAGTGAATCAGAGGATAAAAGATCTGTCTCTCTCTCCCTGGCTGTAACTCTGCATTTCAAATAAACAAACATATTTTTTTCTTTTAATCTTGCTTCATTGCATGTGCTTCTTCATTTGTTATCTATTTTTTTTTAGATTTATGTATTTGAAAGGCAGAGACAGAGAAAGAGGGAGAGATAAATTTTACATCTGCTGGTTCACTCCCCAAATGGCTAGAAACTCCATTGGCTTTTCCACATGGATGGATGGCGCCCATATACCTAGAACCAGTCTTCACGGTTGGCTGCCACTGTTGCAGGCAGTGGCCTAAGATGCTACACCTTAGCACCAGTTCCTACTTCTCCATTTTAAAATTAACACCTTATAATTTGCATTTTGTTTCTGGTTTAACAGTTTAATAATGCCTCATTTTAGACGTCTTTGTGTTCATTCTGCTTATTTTTGGTTGAATACTCTGTGCTTCTATATTTCTATCTGGGAAATTTGAGAAATCATTTCTTCAAGTATTTTTCTGCCCCAATCTTTCTTTTCCTACTGTGACTCTAGTTATATATATATGATTGACCTCTGAAATCATCTAAAGGTGTCTGGGACTCTGCTCATTTTCTTAATCTTTTTTTTTTTTTAAATCTTACTCCTTTACATTAGGTAATTTCTATTCTGTACTCCACTTAATTGCCTTTTTCTTCTCTCCTCTCTAGCCAGTTCTAGATAATTTTGTCCAGGAAAATATCTTACTTAATATATTGTATTTTTCAACTTCTGAATCTCCATTTGGTACCTTTTTATCATTCCTGTTTCTCTGCCAAGATGATATATTCTTTTTTCAATCATGGCAAGTGTGTGTGTATGTACGGTAATAGTTCATTGAAGACTCTATGAATAGCCACTTTAAATTTTTGCTTCTTGGACCTGGGGCGATAGCCTAGCAGCTAAAGTATTCACCTTGAATGTACAGGGATCCCATACGGGCTCTGGTTCTAATACGAAGGCCCCACTTCCCATCCAGCTCCCTGTTTGTGGCCTGGGAAAGCAGTTGATGATGGCCCAAAGCCTTGGACTCTGCACCAACGTGAGAGACCCGAAATTGGCTCTGGGCTCCTTGCTTCACATCGACTCAGCTCTGGCCATTGCAGCCGATTGGGGAGTGAACCAGCAGATGGAAGATCTTCCTCTCTGTCTCTCTTCCTCTCTGTATGTCTGACTTTCCAGTAAAAATAAAATGAAAATCTTTAAAAAAAAATTGTTTCCTAATTCCAACATATGGATCATACTGGAAGTTTTAACCATTTGATTTTCTTTTTGATTTAAGAATATGCTTCATTTTACTATGTCTATGTATTTGGGTCATTTTGCAGTACATCCTAAACATTGCAGATGTTAATGAGTACAGATTCTAGCTTCTACTTCTCTCAAATGAATGTTAAAAAGCTGATATTTATCTTGGTTGGACTTGAACTTTAAAGTCTCATCCTGGATGTAACTGTAGCCTCAATTTCAATCTTTTATTTTAACTGTGCTGGCCTGTGTTCCACATATACTTGGAACAGGGTCCATTAGAGATATTGGTATTGGGAGATGGTTTGAGGATCTATTCTCCAATTCTTTCCTTTCCAAGATCCTTCCATTTTCTTTACTAATCAGTTTTAATGGATTCCTTTTTTTTTTTTGGTCTCCTCAGGCCAGATAATACTACAGTTTTTTTGGTTTGTTTTCCCCCCCACCAATACCCCTGTTGTCAGCATGCTAAAAACCCACAATAACAGAAACTCACTTTGGAGAACAGCTCTCCCTCCTAGTGTGTTTACCTCCGACTCACTCTGCTATTTTCAGGCAGCTGCTTTTCCTATTATTTCCAGGCTTCAAAGCTGTTCTGCTTAAGGGAGTCGCATAGCATATACTTCTAGTATTACTGTCTTATTACACTGATCCATTCCACTCTTCATCCTATTTGCCGAAGTATGATTTAGGCACAGTAAAATTCACTTCACATTGACTTTTTTTCAAGATTTATTTATTTTTATTGGAAATTCAGATATACAGAGAGGAGGAGGGATAGAAAAAGACCTTCCGTCTGACGATTCACTCCCCAAGTGAACGCAATGGCCGGTGCTATGCTGATCCGAAGCCAGGAGCCAGGAACTTCCTCCAGGTCTCCCACACGGGTGCAGGGTCCCAAGGCTTTGGACCATCCTCCACTGCTTTCCCAGGCCACAAGCAGGGAGCTGGATGGGAAGTGGAGCTGCTAGGACTAGAACCGGCACCCATATGGGTTCCTGGCGTGTTCAAGGCAAGGACTTTAGCCGCTAGGCCATGGTGCTAGGCCCCACACTGACTTTTTAAAGATACTAAATTTTTAGTTAACTAGCCTAAATGGAAATATGCCCATACAGTTCTCCCACAGTAGCTTTGAAGATGTAGATCACTTTAAACTCTTAAATTTACCTAAGGGGGAAAAAAATAACAATCTCTTCATAGCTATGTGAGGCCTTAAAGAGTCTTATTCATTCTTAATACATTCCAAAGGAGCCTCATCACACTCTTCATAATCCCTGAAGTCTATGTTAGAAATAAAAAGGCACCAGAGACTCTACAATACAAATAAGCAGGAGAGACCACTAACCTTTTTTCCTGAGCTTACACTTTTTTTCTTTGGTGTGGTATTTTTAGCAGAACTACTCTTCTTGGGAGTTGAAGTACTTGTAGCTGATTTAGTTCGAGCTGATTTCTTAGCTTGCCGTGATGGTGAGACTGAGTCAGGGCTCTGAGACGGCAATGAGCACACAGCTGCTTTGGAGGGCGAGGACTGTGCTTTTGCTATATTCCTTACAATAGGAACTAAGACACAACAAAATCAATGACATCATTAAGGCATTGTCTTGCTACGACAAGAAGTTTCTTTCTCAAACCATTCCCAAATATTATTCATTGGAAATCACCTAAAACAAAGGCAATATATAAGATAAAGTTTCAGGTATTTTTTATTTCATGTTATCAGGAAATAGCCTAATTATGCAGAAAAACAAAGAGGGTTTTATTTGAAGAATGGGTAACTTTGACTTATAGTGAAAAGGTCTAGCAATTTACCTTTTAGCTACTTCTCATATTTCTCCTTAGCACAGGAAAGTGTTCACTTTAGGAAACACTATCCAATATGTCACATTTAGGAATCATCTTGCATATCAGTATAATACACAGAGAAAAACAAAACAAAGTGTTCCTGTTTTATCTTGCAGAGGCCAAAGGAATCCCCTGGTTCCTGGTTTGTCTTACTGAAAAATAAAAAGTATATATCGATATCGATATAGATGTAGAGAAAGACAGAGACAGAATGACAGAGAGAGACCCAGCAAAGAAGAGAGTGTAGTAATGAGAAAGCACTTTCTGCTCCATCAGTCTCCTCCCCAAATGAACACAAAAGCTGAAGCCAGCACTCAGTCCAGAGCTTCCATGGAGGTGAAGGAAGCTGGCTACACGAGTCCTCCTCACTGTCTCCCACCGTCTTCAGGATGCAGGAATCAGAAGCTGAAGCCAAGGACCAAACCCAGATACCCCAATATGGGCTTGTATGTGTCTTAACTGGTATCTTAACTGTTAGACTAAACTCCTGCCCCTAAATTAAACATATAATTTAAGCCTCAAATATATTATATGAGGGTATTTCAAAAAAGTTTATGAAGAAATGGAATTAAAAGATTAGACTTTTTGATTCCAGCATTGTGGCAGTGGGTAAAGTTGCCAGCTGTGACATCAGCTTCCCGTACAGGCACAAGTTTGAGTCCTAGCTGCTCCACTTCAGATCCAGCTCCCGGCTCGTGACCCAGGAAAAGTGAACCAACAGACAGAAGATCTTCCTCTCTGTCTCCCCTTTTCTCTGTAAATCTGACTTTCCAATAAAAAATAAAATAAATCATTTTTTAAAAAATTAGTTGATATAACACATGTGCTTTAAAGGAGGAGGAGCAGAGGAAGGAACTAGGGGACTGCTAACGTACTTCACATATTGTCTATAGGCTGTAGAGACATTGACCATCAGTCACCTGCTCAAACTTTCTTTCCTCCTGCCTTCAGAGAAGGAGCAGAGTCAAAGAACGTGGCGAGAAACTAGAACACATGCAAAACATAAAAGCCAACCCATTGTCTCTGTAGAGTTATCCCTGCTGGATTACAGATCCTAAAAATCCAACATGTTTTAATAGGCCCAAGACAACTTGTCAAAATATATTACAGAAGAGAACCAAGGAAGAAAAATCTCCAGGCTCTACTTGCAGTTACTGCAGTATTTAGCTGAAATAATTTATACGGAGAAAGGAAATTTTTGGAACATACTTCTTTGCACAAGCAAAACTTTCGCTCCAAACTGTTTATATGAAAAAGAAAATATCAACTGTTTTAAATTTCATAGCTTTTGAGTAAATAGAGTACTAAATATACCAAGACTATCCCTCTGTACTTTACTGTAAGCTACATTGAGGACAGCATCCTAAAGGAATAATCAGAAATGCACTAGAGAGACTAAGACACCTTGAACTTTTCACTCTTAGTTATACATGCTGCTCTGCCCCTTGTGGCCCTCTGTTAACACAGAACCCAAATGTTGCTGCGGTCTGCAGTTTCACTGAACAGGAATAGTTCTACAGAAACAGGAAAAACAAACATGTCTTAAAAAACAAATATTAATTTGAAAATTTAGAGATGTGAAGCATAAACTTCATATTCCTCTGTGCACAATTTCTAGTTTTGTTTTTCACAAAACACAAATGAAGTGGAGGTGGGAGTCAAGCTAATTCTTGCTTGTTCAATGAAAGCTTTGGAGTACCGTCCAAAAGACAAAACTTGAAGCAGTTAAGAAGAAAAATGTTGTATGAGGGTAGTTTTTCCAAATAAGACTTCTATATAAAGTGATCTGTCACTTTTTTTAAAGATCCAAACTTCATTTTCTAAAACTCAGTCCTTTAAAATTCCAATTAAGAAAAAATTAACCCTTCACACACCTGCATACCTTGCAAACATAAAATAAACCAACATTCAAAGCAGCAGCTAACAACATCCAAAATAATTATGTTTAAGTGGTGTTTTTCACAGAATTTTAAGAAGAAAGTTCCTCTACACATAGTTTAAATCTTAATTAGCAATAAGGAAATATAATATGCCAGTTCTATCAAATATTTGCTATCAGAAATGTTTTACAAAGGTATAAAGAAAATATTGGGTTACCACTGAGTTTCATTACTAATGTAAGTTTTTCCATCAGAGGGGGAGACAGAAGAACAACAAAATGAAGTGTTTGGGGCCGGGCGCAATAGTCTAGCAACTAAACTAGCCTTGCACGCACCAGGATCCCATTTAGGCACTGGTTTGTATCCTAGCCGCTCCACTTCCCATCCAGTTCCCTGCCTGTGGCCTGGGAAAGCAGTCAAGGACAGCCCAAAGCCTTGGGACCCTGCACCTGCATGGGAAGATGAAGCTCCTGGCTCTAGATCAGCTCAGCTCTGGCTGTTGCAGCCACACAGGGAGTTAACCAGGAGATGAAGATCTTTGTCTCTTCTCTCTGTATATCTTTCCAATAAAAATAAATAAATCTTTTTTAAACATGAAGTGTTCATCTTAAGATACATTTAAATGTACCTTAGAGTCAAAGGCTGAATGGCTTTACTAAAGAGTTCAACAAATGAAAATTTTAAAAAGTTCAACAAATAAAGATTAAGACCATAGTCCACCAAGAAAATAGATAAGAGGTATAAACAATAGTCCAATGAAAAGATGTTCATCTGAAAGGTTTTATTAAGAAAACGTTGCAGATGGTTACTGAAAGCCTGCCAGGCCATGGAACTGTCAGAATGTGGGGCTTCACTGTCCTGGGTCTCCTAGTTCTCAGGGTTCCCCTCCTTCACTTCCCTGTGGACTAGAAGGATCTCTCCATACTTTGGAGATCCTGGCAACTTCATCCATTCCAAAAATAAAGAAGTTCCTGCCTGCTCTCCTCGTTGACCTGGGTGTTTACAACCACCTGAAAAACTGTTCACTGTCTGGCAGCAATGGACTTGGTGCACAGAGCCGATAATCACATGTGTGGACTGATGGTCAATAGTCGAAGTTTATTAGCAGCAACAGACTTTTAAAGACTGAGAGTCACCTAGGCATGAGGGAGGAGGGTTTGAGAAATTTACATATAGACTATGGGAGTTCCCATGAGCCTGTCTATAATCCCATCAATTGTTTCCGCGCCCTTGCTGGGAGGCATCTCTGTTTTCTCCTATAGATCCAATCAATTATCTTATAGATAGATATCCATTCAATGGTCTTATAAAGAATTGGGCTGTCTGGGCCCGGTGCAGTGGCGCAGTGGTTAGGGTCCTCGCCTTGCATGCCCGGGATCCCATATGGGCACTGGTTCTAATCCCGGCAGCCCCGCTTCCCTTCCAGCTCCCTGCCTGTGGCCTGGGAAAGCAGTCGAGGACGGCCCAAAGCCTTGGGACCCTGCACCCGCGTGGGAGACCTGGAAGAGGCTCCTGGCTTTGGATCGGCATAGCATCGGCCGTTGCGCTCACTTGGGGAGTGAATCATGGGACGGAAAATCTTCCTCTCTGTCTCTCCCCTCTGTATATCCGCCTTTCCAATAAAAAAATAATACAAATAAATCTTAAAAAAAAAAGAATTAGGCTGTCTGAGGATACTTCACACCAGTTTGGGTCATTCATTTATAATGAATTGTGCAAGAATCAAGTGAAATAGAACAGATTTATTAATGTTTCACAACTATATGAATTCAAATTCTAATTTACACAGCCCATTTTAAAAGTATTTAAGTACCTTGGGGCCAGCACAACAGCTCAACTAGCTAATCCTCCCACTTCAAGCACCAGAATCGCATGGGTAGCAGTTTGTGTCCTGGCAGCTCCACTTTCCATCCAGCTCCCTGCTTGTTGCCTGGGAAAGCAACAGAGGATGGTCCAAAGCCTACGGATCCTAGCCCTATAAGGCCTGAAAAAATCTCCTGGCTTTGGCTGGCTTAAGCTCCTGCTGTTGCAGCCATTTGGGGAGTGATCCAACACATGCAACATCTTTCTCTCTGGATTCTTGTCTGTGTAAATCTGCCTTTCTAATAAGAATAAATAAATCTTTAAAAAAAAGAATTTCCTTTTGTCTTTTGGAGAAACCCCTTTGAAGTAAACCTTTAAAAGGTGCTTTCTCTACCATTAATAGAGGTCTTTTTCCACTTTTCCTCCTGCCACTATGGCAGGGGGTAGGGGTCCTTTCTATCCCAAAGCCTCCTCCCGTCGAAGGACAGGAATCTCTTTCCTCAGCTTTTCTAATAAATCTTGCTTTAAAACTAAAAAAAAAAAAAAAAAAAAAAAAAAAAAGTATTAGCGTACATTTAAAACAAAGTAGGGATGCTTTACAATGTAACTATTTTTAAAAACTGAGTATCCTATAATATAATATGAGGCAAATTTTTAAATAAACGTTTTTTCATTATTACTTTTATTTGAAAGGCAGGGTTATAGAGAGAAGAAGGGAAATGAAGCAAGACCTTTGAACCGCTGGTTAATTCCCCAAATGGAGCAACAGCCACAGCTAAACCAAGCTGAAACCAGGAGCCAAGAGCTTCTTTTGGGTTTCCCACGTTGGTGCAGGGTCCCAAGCACTTGGGACATCCTCTACTGCTTTCCAAGGCCATAAACAGGGAGCTGGATCAGAAGTGGAATAGCCAGGACTTGAATCAGTACACATGGAATGCCAGTGTCACTGGAGGCTTAACTCACTGTGCCACAACATCATTTCCTTGAAAAAGTTTTAAATGTTATATTCCTTATGAATTTTTTTTAAAGATTTATTTGTATTATTTTTTTATTGGAAAGGCGGATATACAGAGAGGAGAGACAGAGAGGAAGATCTTCTGTCCGATGATTCACTCCCCAAGTGAGCGCAACGGCCGATGCTATGCCAGTCCGAAGCCAGGAGCCTCTTCCAGGTCTCCCACGCGGGTGCAGGTTCCCAAAGCTTTGGGCCGTCCTTGACTGCTTTCCCGGGCCACAGGCAGGGAGCTGGAAGGGAAGCGGGGCTGCCGGGATTAGAACCAGTGCCCATATGGGATCCCGGGCATGCAAGGCGAGGACCTTTAACCACTTGCGCCACTGCGCCGGGCCCTCCTTATGAATTTTTAAAAAACAATTATATAAAAGCTAAAAACCAAACACATCCAGTGTATTTAACTATTCAAAATATATTACAACCAATATAATTTGTAGTTTATGAAATGTAATTCATTTAATATTATTTCTGCCTTTTGAAATTACTGATAAGGCGCTTAAGTTAGCTAATGTTCAAGTCAATATATACTATTTCTGTAAGGTTAAAAAGAAGAGAATATAAGGATGAGCACAATGGCTCAACTGGTTAATCCCTGCCTGCAAGCATTAGCATCCCATATTAGTGCTGGTTCATATCCTGACTGCTCTACTTCCCATCAGCTCCCTACTTGGGGCCAGGGAAAGCAATGGAGGACGGGCCAAAGCCTTGGGACCCTGCACCCATGTAGGAGATCTGAAAGAAGCTCCTGGCTCCTAATGTCAGATCAGCTCAGTTCTGGCTGTTGTGGCCACTTGGAGAGTGAACCAGTGGATGGAAGCTCTTCCTGGCTCTTCTTTGCTCTATAAATCAGACTTTCCAATAAAAATAAATAAATCCTTTTAAAAAAAGGAAAAACAATATAAACTACCAGATGGAAGATATATCTCTCTTTCTCTGTAAATCTGCCATTCAAATCAAAATAAATAAAAATTTTTAAAGATTTTATTTTTATTGGTAAGTCAGATATACAGAGAGGAGGAAAGACAGAGAGAAAGATCTTCCGTCCGATGATTCACTCCCCAAGCAGCCGCAAAGGCCTGAGCTGAGCCGAACCGGCGCCAGGAGCCCAGAACCTCCTCCTGGTCTCCCACATGGGTGCAGGGTCTCAAGGCTTTGGGTTGTCTTCCACTGTTTCCCCAGACCACAAGCAAGGAACTGGATGGGAAGTGGGGCCGCCGAGATTAGGACTGGTGCCCATATGGGATCCTAGTACGTTCAAGCTGAGAACTTTAGCCGCTAGGCTACCATGAATAAATAAATATTTTTTAAAAATCATAGGTCCCTCATAGTAACCTAGTGGCTAAAGTCCTCGCTTTGCATGTGCCAGGATATCGTATGGGTGGCCAGTTCATGTCCTGGCTGCTCAGCTTCCTATCCAGCTCCCTGCTTGTGGCCTGGGAAAGCAGTCCAGAATGGCCCAAAGCCTTCGGACCCCACTCCTGATCAGCTCACCTGCAACCAATGTGGCCACTTGAGGAGTGAATCAGCAGACAGAAGATTTTTCTCTCTGTATCTCCTTGTCTCTGTATATCTGCCTTTTCTATAAAAATAAGTAAATCTTTTTTAAAGAATCATGACATGTAGTACTATAGATTATGGAATGCAATAAAGTCCTAAATTACAGAAAAGTTTACAGCAGTTAAAAGAATATAGCTATACTCTTATTTAGGCACAGTGATTTCTACACACCTTCGTTTTCTTTTTATCTGGTATAAATAAATAAATTTAGTGGAGTAAATAAGAGTTCTATATTCAATTTCATTAATAAGTTTTATTATTATATTCAACTGACGGCAGTGACTGGGTTCTATGGTTAGACTGCATTTAAATTTTGGTAGAGATTTCCCCCCATAGACATCCATGTTACACACATCTGAGCCCTTGTAATAGTCACCACGGAGCTTCAACATTTTGATGCTTTTTCTCTGAATGAGAGTATCTGGGTGAACACAGCACTGAATTTAAGAAACACAGCATTACCACAAATAAAACACCAACATGACTCAAAAACACACTAAAGGCAGACCTCCAGCACAGTGCTTAGAATGCCCGTAGCTCATATTAGGGTGGCTGGGTCCAACTCGCAGCCCCACTCTCCATTTCAGCTTTCTGCCAAAAACAGACCTTGAGAGCAGCACATGATGCTCCAAGTGCTTGGGTCCCTACCACGCACAAGGGAGACAGGGCCTGGGGTGTTGGCTCTAGCTTTGGCCAGGGATGCCTTAGCCACTGTGGGCATTTGAGGAGTGAGCCGGTAGACAAGAAAACACACTCTCTCAATTCCTCACAAACATATAAAAAAAAACCACTTTAACATACAAGTTAATGATGGCTTTCACACAGTCAAAATTTTTTACTAATACGCAGGTTTTCATCAACACTATCTATTGAACATAGAGCCAAAATAATGTAACATAAATTTATAATAGTGCACTTTTTTAAAAAAGAATTATTTTATTTTTATTAGAAAGGCAGATATACAGAGAGGAAAAGAGACAGAGGAAGATCCTCCATCTGTTGATTCACTCCCCGAGTGACCACAATGGCCAGTGTTGTGCCGATCTGAAGCCAGGAGCCAGAAAACTCCTCCAGGTCTTCCAGGCAGGTGCAGGGTCCCAAGGCTTTGGGCCATCCTTGACTCCCCGCTCCTCAGGGCACAAGCAGGGAACTGGATGGGAAGTGGATCTGCCAGGTTTAGAATCGGCACCCATACGGGATCCCAGCACGTTCAAGGCGAGGCCTTTACCTGCTAGGCCACAGCGCTGAGGCCACATTTATAACAGTTCTTATGCCTAACCTTTTTAAGATTATCTTTGTGATATGAACAGGGTGTGGTTTCAAAATCTTTTCCATATTTGAGAGACACAAAGAAAGAAACCACCCGTCTGCTCATTTACTTTGCAAGTGCCCATAACATCAGGGTTAGGCCATGCTGATGCCAGAAGCCACATGTAACTTTTCAGCTTACCCACATTGCCCAGGGCAGACTGGGCCTCACTCTTTGATTTAAGAGTGACCCTCAGGAATCCTAACCTTGGCAGTGGGCTGCCAACACTGCGGTTAAGGCGCCACCTGGAAGTCTCTCAGTCCATGCTGCAGTGATTGTACCTGCTCGAGGTCAGGAAGCTCCAATTTCCATGCAGCTTCCTAATTACACACATCCTGCTTTAAGTATTTAGGTCTCTGCCACCCACATGGAAGGCTCAATGGAATTCTGGACGCTTGGCTTAACCTGACCCAACTGTGGAGAATAAATAGGACATGGAAGATCTCTCCCCATTTGTTTCTCTTTCAAATTAGATGAAAATGAATTTTAAAATTACCTTTTAAAGAAAGAATTCTAATCATAACCTGCAATTTCCTAGTCTGGACAGAGCTCTTGCCAAACAGCTGGGCATAAAGTCCTGATATAACCAACATTAACAGCAATGCCACCTACAGCAATTAAATGTAACTTCCATGAAATAAAAGAGCACGTAGCTATTTATTCTTACCACTACGTCCTAGTGGCTGCAACACATCTCCCGTCAGGCAACACCACCCAACTGGAAAAAGATCCCGCGAGTCGTATCTGCACCAGTAATCAAATGCTCCACTCCAGCCATCAAATGTGATGTGAACTTCGTCTCCTCTAACACCTCCGATTGTTGCAGGGCAGATGAAAAACGGATTTTTTTTGTCAACAGCCTCGAGCTTCATCCCCACTTTAAAATTATTTAGGGGAGGTTTCGGTGGTTCCTATCAACAAGTTTTTTTTTAAAAAGTATGCAGGTTAAGGCATGTTAAGGACCATTTGCTCAATTGTATTGTATTACAACTTGTAGCAATAAAGAACTTCGTATTTATAAGTTAATACAGGAAGAAAAGAGTTCTCATAGATCTGAATGGCTACTTTCCCCGGGATTGGTGTTGTGACTAAAAAGGCTAATCCTCCACCTTCAAGCACCATATGGATGCCAGCTTGTGTCCCAGCTGCCCCACTTCCTACCCAGCTTTCTGCTAACAGCTTGAGAAAGGCAGCAGAAAATAGCCCAAGTGTTTGGGCCCCTACACCCACATGGGAGACCTTGAAGAAGCTCCCGGCTCTGGCCTGGCACAGCCCTGGCCATTGCAACCATCTGGTTCCTACAGTCAGATCTGGGCAACAGTCAGACGCTGGCTCCAACAGCCAGATCTGCGCCAGTCCAAAGCTTGGAACTTGGAGTTTCTTCTACAAGGTTCAGGGCCCCAAGGACTTGGGGTCATCTTTCGCTGCTTTACCAGGCACATTAGCAAAAAGCTGGTTTGGAAGTGCAGCAGCTAGAATCCAGAGCAGCACCCATTTGGGATGCCATCATTGCAGGTAGAGGTTTATACTACCCTGTGACACCAGCCCCCTCAAAGCAATATCTTATAATTTGCTTACCATCTTAGCACATGGCACCATCACAACAACCTTATCACTTAAGCCATAAATCTGGAAACAGTCCTAGCGCAGTCGTTCTCAGCCCTCCAGAACATCTGAATTATCTGGCACGACATCACCTCACAGAGTCTGGACTAGCCTAGGGTGGGGCTCAGTTTTCAAACTCTTTAAATTCTTCAGGTGAAACTAATGTGCAACCAGCGCCCTGGATGCATCTCTTTCACTTAGTCACAATTCAATCAAAAACCACAGCCTGCTAATTCTACAGCACTTTCAAGGGGTTTTTGGCCCATCATCACTTTATCCAATATCAAAGGAATGTCAAATGCAGCAATGAAGGATAACTTCACTTGGGAAGGTAAATTAGAAATAGCACTGATCACTTGCTTCCCGCAGAAGTGCCCCTTTCATACCAAAAGCCAAGAATGAACATACCAATTCAACTACTGAGTGACTACAATCGACTTCTATGAATGGTGATAAATGCTGCACTGTGTCATCTCCCAAATCCATATGTGAAAACCCTAATCTCAGCACCTCAGATTGTTACTTTGCTTGGAATCAGGATCTTTAAGTAAGTTAAAAGGAGGCCATTATGGGAGTCCCTAATCCAATATGGCTGATGTCCTTATAAGAACCAAAGCCAGAGGACATAGAAGAAATGAACCCTACAGGCAGAGTGATCACATGTCTAACCTCCCAAACTGTGAAAAAATAGATTTCTGACGGAATTTGTCCCCCTAAAATCCATATGCTGAAACACTACCCCCCGAATTGAGTGTATTCAGAGATAGGACCTTTAGGATGCAATAATGGTCAAGTGAGGCATTAGAGTGCAGCCTACATAAAGTAGGACTAGTGTCCTCCTAAGATGAGGAAGGCACACCATGGATGTGCATACATACAGAAACCATACAAGCACTCCTGTTAAAACAATAAAACCACAACCCAGTTTGTAAAGCTCTCGGTAACATCTCACCTTTTTGAAGAATGCTGCAGGTGCCATTTCGGACCCACTCAGGGTTCGTAACAGGAACATTGGCCAAGACGATGCATTCATCTGGAATCCTAGTTTTATAAATTAGAGACCATGAAAAAGGTTCCCTGTGATACTATGGCAAGTTGGTATTTTTAAAAATGGGTTTCATTCACCATTCTTCTTCAAAAAATGATTTTTTTATCTACAGTCTCAGGATATGGACAAGAGAAACAGACCCATTCTCCTCTCATTGCTACTGCTTCCCCCGTACTATCCGGCAACAATGCTACAACGGCAACAGAGACAGAATTGCTATCTAGGATTCAGCAGCAAACATAAGTGTGTTAGAAATGGCTTTCATATTAGAAGCAATTGTTGATAAAATCTAGGAGAGCAACCATTCCACCATCACCAAGCACCAGTAAAGATTGAACAAGACTTCAGCCACTTTGTTTCCAGAATCCCTGACAGTTCTCCAGCAGACTCAGCAAATATACAGAAAATTTCACTGTATGTAAATTTTATCTCAATTAAAAAAAAATTATTCAGGTTAACGACATATAGACCAAAGTACTTAGGAGAAGTGCACTGATATTAACAACTCATTATGAAACAATTAAAAAGTAAAGTAGGTTGATGAATCAATAAGTGGACCAAACAAATGGGCAGATAATAAAGAACATACAATAAAATAATGAGATAATCCAGGGAATAAGTTATGTGGATGTTCACTGTAAAACATTTTTACCTTTTCTGTATGTTTGACAATTTTCAGAAAAGGTTAGGAAAAAAGCTCTCAATTTCAGCAATCTTTACAAATACCAAACATGAACTTTCAGAATTGATATTGATATCAGATGCTACTAAAATAGACTCCACGGGTGTTTTTCTAGAGACCGGGCAGTACCACAGCATCTGGCACACAACACGAAACAGGGTCTGTCAGTTTGATTATTCTCTGAGCACAACCTATTTCACACACCACCTGCCCACTGCCACGCCAGAATCAGAAAGAACTGGGCATGTATTCCTGACAGAGATACACAATAGGACAGGAAGTACATGACTAACTGACAACAGGTCTATCAACCGCACAAAACATGCAAAACAAAAGTGAGATTAAAAATTTTAATATTGTTACTTAATAGTGTTAAACATACAGAATAAAAAATATGCAGCATTTTAAAAAACTATCCTCTAACCATCCTATACCAAGACACTTTTCTGATCTGACTAAAAAAAAATTGTTGCTAAAAAAACCTTGGGAGATTTGTATACCTTCGATAATAAATCAATGATATCAGTTTTCGTTTCCAGCATTCTCTTAGAAACTACTGCATAGTGGCTCATCTGACTAACTCTCCACCTCCAAGCATTAACATGCCACATGGGAGCCGGTTCATGCCCCATCACTTACACATGATCCCTCACACACTCTCAGACAAAGCTGTGCTGATCAGAAGTCATTAGGAGCTTCCTTTTGACCTCCCATGTAGGTGCAGAGGCCCAAGGCCTTGAACCATGTTCCGCTACTTTCCCAGGCCATAAGAAGATAATTGGGTCAGAAGTGGAACAGTTGAACTTGAACCAGCAGCCAAATGGGATGCTAGTGCTTGCAGGTGGAGGATTAACCTATTATGTCACCACACTGGCCTCTGTACTTCATTTATAAGATGGACACTTACAATATATACAATTTTTGGTTTGGATGTCAAAACTTTGCAAAATCTTTTAAATAATACTCCCTAAGGTTTAAATAAACAAATCTTTTAAAAAGGAAAACAAGGGCCGGGCACAGTAGCATAGCAGCTAAAGTCGATGCCTTGCACACACCAGGATCCTGTATGGGTGCCAGTTCTAATCCCGGCAGCTCCACTTCCCATCCAGCTCCCTGCTTGTGGCCTGGGAAAGCAGTCGAGGACGGCCCAAAGCCTTGGGACCCTGCACACGTGTGGGAGACCCAAAGGAGGCTCTGGGCTCCTGGCTTCGGATCAGCTCAGCTCCAGCCATTGTGGCCACTTGGGGTGTGAACCAGTAGATGATCTTCCTCTCTGTCTCTCCTCTCTATGTATATATGACTTTCTGATAAAAAATAAAAGAAATCTTTAAAAAAGGGGGAGACACTCTGCAGCATATTGTGCTGAGTTCATGTCTCATGTTACATTCTGCATAGCAATCACCTAACCACATATTTGTAACAAGGTCTAAGAGATTTTTTAAATACCATTTATATCACATTAGTAGAAATATTACTTTAAAATGTTTATCTATACCTAGTGGAGGTTGAAGTAAGTCTCCTTCCTTTTCACACGTCCCCACAGGCTGTATGTCGCAGGAATCAACAAGCCTCCAAAAGTCATTTCTGTTGTCACTGCCATCGAGCCGTAAACGTAACCTGGCTCCAGTAATTCCAATAACCGTAGCAATACATATGGAAGTAACATTGCGAGGGTCACGGGCTTCCAATTTCATTCCAATTCTGAAGTCATTAGCCGGTGGAATTTTAGACTATATACACACATACATATAATTGCATTAACATGTGTCAATTATAAGAAAAATAGGCCAGTTATGTTACCAGCATATCTTAAGACATTTTAAGCAACAGCCACAACAGAAGGTAAGGTCAGAGCTACGAAAGGTCAAGGAACAAACCTCCAAACTCTTTCCTTGACATGGTGGGCAGCATAAAAACATTGCCAACTGCTGGTCCCACTCACTGTCCAATTTCAGGAAACTTCGTTTGACAAGGCACCAACCAGCTTTCCGAAACAACAAGTCTGATTAGGTCATCCCCCACCCCACCCACCAAAATAAGCCAATCACTGCCTATGATAAAGTCCACCTGCTCAGCAGCTGAAACGCCGCCACCTTAAACCAGATTCCTACTGGACTGCCTCTAGTCATCGTGTACTCTAAGGACCCTGTCACCCATCAAGATTCTTTCGCACCATATGGAAGAAGCCTTGGCTTCTGCTTTTCTTTTTGTCTGCAATAACACGCTTCCCCCTCATTCTAACCATCTCACATAACACCCCTTCTATGGGTGCTCCCAACATGAAGTTATCACACATGGCATAATTCTTTATTTACATAATTAGAATCTGTCTTTCCCTCCAGATGGGCAATCATAAGGGCTTAGTACACCTGATATAAAATAACTTCTCAAGAAATACAGAGACCATCTGATCCTAAGCAGCGACACTACCACAATTCCACTTTGTCCTCATGGTAACCAGAACCTAACAAATACACAGACACCTTTTAACAAGTAATAGTTTACATTCATATTATACATCTGGGGCTGCCATTGTGGCACAGAGGATAAAGCTACTGCCTCTGATGCCAGAATCACATATGGGTACTGGTTCATGTGCCAACTGCTCCAGTTTCGATCCAGCTCCCTGCTAATGGCCTGTGGAGAGCAGCAGCAGATGATCCAAGTGCGTGGAGCCCTGCCACAAATGTAGGAGGACCCAGATGAGGCTCTCTGCTCCTGGTTACGGCCCAGCTCAGCTCTGGCCATTGAAGCCACTTAAGCAGATTGAAGAACATTCATTCTCTCATATTCTCTCTCTCTCTCTCTCAAAATAAAGATCAACATTTATAAAATCCTGGCATACCTGTCTGAAGTAATCTGAAGGAGCACTTAGGGATCCCGTCGCTTTCAAATACTGATCCCAGTGGAAATCATCTGAATAGAACACATACAAAATGTTTTTTAGTATATACTATTATATGCTGACTTTCATAAATAAAACACTAACATCCCATCAGGAAGTGCCTGGGTTTGAGTTCCAGCTCTGCTCCCAATCCTCGCTCCGGATGCACATCAGGGATACAGCAGGTAATGGGTCAAATGCTTGGGTCAATGCCACTCACGTAGGAACTGGACTGAGTTCCCAGCTGCTGCTTTCAGCCTGGCCCAGTCTAGCTGTTGCAGGCATTTGGGGAGTGACCAGAGAAGGAGAGATATTTGTCTTTCACTCTACCTCTCTACACCTTTCAAATAAACTAAAATTAAAACAAAATTTTTAAAAACTTGCCAAAGGGCAGGTTCAAACATCCTGATCTACACTTGATTACTGGCAAGGAAATTAAAAAGAAGGCTTGATAACAATGGCTTGGATATAATTACATCCCAGGTCCTTACCAACATAATCAGAATTACAGCACGATGATCCTGAAAGTGTGACTGCTAAACACAGCTAAAGGGATTATTATAGATGAATAGTCTACTCATGTGTCTCCAATAGAAACTGAAGAAATATGGTTTTTCCATTTCATCCCATTAATGTGAAAATGTTTATTTTTGATGGCAAGGTATTAAACCATGTGGTCTAACAGAATTTTAGCACTGTAATATTTTTATGCAAAAAAAAAATCTGAGAACCAAAGCAGTTTTTCAATGGACTGTTAGATCTCTATCCTGAGTGTTAAGAAGACACTAGAAGGCAAAAGCACCCACGGGTGTGGTCATTAGTACTAATGCTCTCATCTACATTTCCTACTCGTTCTTTCTCAGTTGGCCTCCATGATACTGTACAATGCTAGAAGAAAAGATCAGAAAGCAGTGTACTTTGTCTGACTTGAACACTTTAATTCACAGCATCAATCAGACTGTCAAGACACTGAAAGAAATACTTGGTAGTAATGTTAACAGTCCTTATAGGCCCAATCAAGGTTTATTCTCTTCAGCTATGAAGTTTTTCTATACTCTTACTGAATTTCCTCACTACAAAAATATTTGGTTTGGGGCCCGGTGCAGTAGCCTAGAGGCTAAAGTTATCGCCTTACACGCACTGGGATCCCACATGGGTGTTGCTTCTAATCCCAGCGGTCCCGTTTCCCATCCAGCTCCCTGCCTGTGGCCCGGGAAAGCAGTGGAGGACGGCCCAAAGCCTTGGGACCCTGCACCCATGTGGGAGACCTGGAAGAGGCTCCTGGCTCCTGGCTTCGGACTGGCTCGGTTCCAGCTGTTGCGGCCACTTAGGGAGTGAACCATTGGATGGAAGATCTTCCTCTCTGTCTCTCCTCCTCTCTGTGTATCTGACTTTGCAATAAAAAAAAATAAAATAAATCTTTAAAAAATATTGGGTTTGGCAATTCCCTTTCCAGGGGAAATGTACATTATTACCAGCCTCTACACAAGGCAGGCCCCCTTATCTACAGTCCTTCTTCATCTGTCATTTACTTTCATGCTTTCATTTACCTGTGACAAACAAGTTTGAAAATATTAAATGGAAAATTACAGAAATCAATGATTAGTTTGAAGTTGAAGTTTTGCCCTCTTCTGAGGATAGTGATGATAGCCCGCAGGATGCTGCTTTATTGTTACCTGAGACATGAATCATTCCTTTATCCATGCTGTATATGCTACCTTAGTTGTCTAGTAGCCATGTTAGTTATCAGATCAGCTGTCACAGTACCGCAGTGTTCACCAGTCAAATGACCCTTACTTTTCCTAACGAGGCTCCAATGCACAAGACTAGTGATGTTGGCAATTCAGCCATACAAAAGAGAAGCCACAGCAGCATGCTTCCGTTAAGTGAAAAGATGAATGTTCTCAAGAGAAAAAAGCCTATGCTAATGTCACTAATAACATTGATGTAAAGTTACTGTTGTTAATCTTTTACTGTGTCTAATTTAAAAATTAAACATGCATGTCTAGAAAAAGCATAATACATATGAAATTTGGTATTATTCATACTTTAAGGCAGCCACATTGGGGTCTTGGAATGTGCCCCCTGCAGATAAGAGGAGAACTACAATATTCTTCAAAAGATTCAGTTATACGTGCACATGCACACACACACTGTTGATAAATAATTAACAACTACCTTTGTGGATAAACAAACAAAAAGTCTGACTGGCAGTGTTTGTGTGAATTTGTATAGTGTAAATACTACTTCAATAGTGGACTATAAGGTGCTAAGATGAAGCCAACAAGCAAAATTGGGCAGACATAATGCACAACAGGCTCTCCCAAGTCAGTGTAAGCTGGATTTAGTGCATACATACAGATATGTATATGCATTTATATATGTATATACATATATTACACATGGTATTAAGCATGTCACACATAACATTCTGTACCCTGTTTTCCTTAAAGATAATAGCCTAAGAGATTCGTTAATTAAAAAAAAAAAGCACTGAATGGCATGCCTTTGGTACAGTAGTTAAAACAATGTACCACAACACCAGGCCCAGAAATACAACGGTAGTTACCAGAGAAAAATGGGGAGAGAAGTGGGGAGGGAAGGATGCAGGAAGGCTGACTGATAGGTTCTGCGCTAGACAGGGGTAACAAGCTGTGGCAGCCTACCGCACAGTGGAGTAAGGATGAACACGTTAGTCTACAGTGTATTTCGCTATTTAAAAAAAAATCTGCTGTTGGGAGACACTTCGGTGGCAGCATGACGGACTTGTGAAAATTCACAAAACACACCCATTGTGAGACTGGAAGGGGAACGGCGGCGGGGGGGGGGGGGGGGGGGGGGACTTGAAGAGGGGGAGGGGAGACCCCAGTGCCTATTAAACTATGTCATAAAATTTTTTAAAAAAAAGTTAGAAGACAGGATTCTTGGATGTTTTCACTGTAAAGAACTGCCAAATGTCTAAAAGGAGAAACATGCTTACCCTAATTGAACATGACAAAATGTCCCCAGGTAAATGAACAACACACAGTACCCCATAAATATGTGCAATTTTTATGTCTTCTGAATTTTTCAAACAAAAATATTTCTAGACCTTACCACTTTGCACAGATGATGTGCTTGAATGAGGAATGGCCTCTTGGTTATCCTTATTTACATCCATTGAATCTAACAAAAAGAAAACAGCAATACTGGAAGACCGCAGAAACAGTTTGAAAGAACACTTTAAAAAGGTATAAACAGATTCTTTCAACAGAAATCAGTTTTAATTTTGCAATGAATATCCTCATTTTACACACAGCAGTTATCATTTGTTAACATACCATATAGCTTATAATTTGCTCATTTATTTTATCATATGTTTTACTCTACTGAAGGAAGTAAGTAGAATAAAAAGGAAGAGAATGCCTGTGTCTGCCTTGTTCACTGCTATATCCTCCCAGCCCAGAACAGGACCCGTCCTGTAGATTACCCTCAAGTACTTGTCAAATAATACAATCAATAAACCAAGCTGACCTGATCTTTACAATGTGTAAATTAACACAACCGAGAAATGGTGGAGCTTCTAAGCACCCCCAATGCTTAACAGGAAAGCTAGAGCAGCACACAGTTCAACGAACTATAAAAAGCCTTTTCACCTGCTGAGCTAAAGAGCTCAAATAGCACCGACCTCACCGAATCTAACACATATCATTCTGTCCACGAATATTACAGTATCCATTTGTAAGCAATTTAAAAAAAAAGTAAGCAAAAAAAGAAAAATAAGCATAACACTACTATGGTTTTGAAATTAACTATAATCCCTTAGTAAAATCAACCAGTGTTCATTTGTCCCCAATTGTCCTCACTGTTGTATGTTTCTCCGAATAAAGACCTGAATAAAGTTTACACATGACAATGTCTGATATGTCTCGTGTCTCTTAGTCTATAAGCTTTCTCTCATTTTGTTTTTCCTAGCCCCCTGTAATTTTTTTAATAGACAGTAACAGTAGGTTGATCCTTTAGCCATCTACTCTGGAGTTTGTCGTCTTTTCATGGTATTGTTTCTGGCCCTTGTATTTTCTTTAACTTGGTATTGATATTTTGACCCAGAAGAGTTTAATCAAATTCAAGTTGAAGGGCCCGGCGTGGTGGCCTAGCGGCTAAAGTCCTCGCCTGGATCCCATATGGGCACTGATTCTAATCCCAGAAGCTCCACTTCCCTTCCAGCTCCCTGCTTGTGGCCTGGGAAAGCAGTTGAGGACAGCCCAAAGCCTTGGGACCCTGAACCTGTGTGGGAAGCATAGAGGAAGTTCCTGGCTCCTGGCTTCGGATCAGCACAGCGGGGAGTGAATCATCAGACGGAAAATCTTCCTCTCTGTCTCTCCCCTCTCTGCATATCTGACTTTGTGATTAAAAAAAAAATAAAATAAAGTTGGACTTTTGAGGGGATGGAGGGAAAAACACAACTTCCTAGGTGACAGTGTGTCTTTTTCACAGGAGGCCCCCTAAATAACCGGTCATCACCATCTCTCTGCATGATATGAACAGCCAGACACGGCTGGGGCATAGATTCATCAGGTTTCTGGTGGTTGCAAAGTGGAGCTATTCTAGCATTCTTAGTAGCTAAAAACCTTGCACAGTCAAAAACCTCCCATCTTCAATCACTCAGGTACCTTGAGGTGCAGATCATATAACAAAGTCAAAACCAACACTTAATTTTCCTTGATTTTTCTAGTTTTTAAAAATGATGCATTGGTTCTTTAGCATTCCCCACAAAAGAACAATAATTTTTTTTGTTTCTACCTATCATTCCTGAATGTATGGGTTTAAGTATATTTGATATATGTGAGAGGGATATATGGATTGCTTTCTGCTTAAATGATTTGATTTGTACGAAGAAAATAGACATAATAACTAAATTGTTCTATAGTAAGGTTTTTCTAAAAGGGAAGAAATCAGTTATAGAGACTACATTAAACCAGCAACAATTAAGAGGGCAGCATTCAACATTCAGCATTCAGCCAGAAGAAAAGTCATGAGAGACAGAGAACTTGACAAAGGAAAAGGGCTTAGGATGGCAAATGTGTAAAGAACGTATTATTCAAAAGAAAATACAGCACAAAGCAGGTTACAAATGAAGGTGGCATATGCACAGAACAATGAGAAGACTTCGGGGCCAGTACAGTGGCACAATGACTTAAGCTGCTGCCTACAATGCTGGCATAAATAGGAGCACAAATTCAATTTCTAGCTGCTTCGTTTACTATCCATTTCATTGGGGAATGAAATAGCAGGTGGAAGATTTCTTTCTCTCTATTCTGTCTCTCCCTCTCTCTTTGAAACTCTCTTTCAGATAAAGGAATCTTTAAAAGTAAGCCAAACAGGATCAAACATTTTAATCACTTATAATAAAGTCAGACGATACATATTCTAATTTTCTTTTGCCATAGATTGTTCAATAATCTGTTTACCTGACTTCTCTAAGTTTCACTTTTCTCATTTATAAAACTAGGAAGGAAAAACAAAATTATTTGTAATACATTCCATTCCAAAATTCAATTTGAAGTCCCTAATAACTCTTTTATTTTTAAAATGTTTTATTTCAAAAGTAAAGTATACCAGAAAACATTTCAAACAAATAACAAAAAACATTATCAACTTTAGTCAAGGAAACCTTACCTTCAGTTGTTTGCTGCTTATCACTTTCCAGTATTTTTTCCTATAAGAAAAAAAAATAATTCTTTCAGCATAGTATATTCCCTATTTATTTTTTAAAGATTTATTTATTTTTATTGGAAAGTCAGATGTTTTACAGAGAGAAAGAAAGATAGAAAAATCTTCCATCCGATGAATCATTCCCAAGTGGCTACAATGGCCAGAGCTGAGCCAACCCAAAGCCAGGAGCCAGGAGTTTTCTCTGGGTTTCCCACACGGGTGCAGGGTCCCAAGGCTTTGGGCCATCTTCTGCTGCTTTCCCAGGCCACAAGCAAGGAGCTGGACGGGAAGTGAGGCAGCTGGGACATGAACCGGCAGCTCCTATATGGGTGTTGGCACTTGCAAGATGAGGATTAGCCTGTTGAGCATAGCACCAGCCCCAGGTGAATTCTTTTTTAAATATTCATTTTAAAATTTCATTTGAAACATAGAGAAACAGGGAAAGCAGAGCTAGAAGTAGGGATTGATACGGGATGTGGGTTTCTTCACCCAATGTACCACAACATTTTATAAATAAATTCTCCTTTCAATTTATAAATAAATTCTCCAATTCCCCTCAAATAAATTCTCTCTCTCTCACTACCCAGCTGCCCCACTTATAAGTCTGCTCCCTGCTAATGCACCGGCAAAGCAGTGGAAGATGGAACACATGTTTGGGTCCCTGCTTCTGGCTGTGGGGAGCCAGCCCCAGGCATCAAAGCCATTTGAGAAGTGAATCAGTAGATGCAAGATCCTCTCTCTGTCTTTCCTCCCCTCTAACTCTGCCTTTCAAATAAATAAAAAAAAAATTTAGGGGGTGGCACTGTGGTATAGTTGGTAAGGCTGTGGCACCAACATCACATATAGGTGCCAGAGTCCCATTGCTCTACTCCTTCTTCCTGCTAACAGCCTGGAAAAGCATGAGAAAATGGCCAAAGACTTGGACCCCTGCATCCACCCGGGAGACCTGGAAAACACTTCTAGCTCCTGGAGCACCCCAGATCAGGCTGTTTTGGCCATTTGAGGAGTGAACCAAAAGGCTCACTTTCTCAATATCTCCCCCGCCCTCTGAGTTCTTCTCCAAATGGCTCATTGTTGTTTTTTATTCTCTTTCTTCCTCTAACTCTGCCTTACAAGTAAATAATTCTTCAAAAAAATTTTACACATTTATTTAAGAGGGCAAAGTGTGATGGTTCAGTGGCTAAATCCTCACCTTGCATGCACTGGGACCCCATAAGGGCACTGGTTCGTGTCTTGGCAGCTCCACTTCCCATCCAGCTCCCTGCTGGTGGCCTGGGAAAGTAGTCAAGGTTGCCCCAAAGGCTTGGGATCCTGCACCCACGTAGGGGACTCGGAGGAAGCTCTTGGCTCCTGGCTTCAGATCAGCTCAGCTCCAGTAATTGTGGCCACTTGGGGAGTATACCAGCAGATGAAAGATATTTATGTCTCTCCTCCTCTCTGTAAATACGCCTTTCCAATAAAAATAAATAAATCTTAAAAAGATAATTTAAGAGGCAGAACAACAGAGAGAAAAGGAGTGACAAAGAGAGGGAAAAAATATTCTATCCACTGGTTTACCCCCAAGCAGTAGTAACAGCCAGGTCTGGACCAGGGTAAAGCCAGGAGCAAGGAAGTCCATTCTGATCTTCCACATCAGTGGCAGGTATCCAAGTACATGAGACATTTTCCAGTGCCTTCCCAGGCATACATCAGCAGGAAGATAGATTGAACAAGGAGTAGCCAGCAATCCAACATGGGATGCCAGCGGCATTGCAAACAGCAGCCTAACTCACTGTGCTACAATGCTGGCACCCATAACTGAAATCTTAAAAAAAAAAAAAAAAAAGATTATTAATTTGTTTGAAAGTCAGAGATACACAAAGAGCAGGAGAGTCAGAGAGATCTTCCATCCATTGGTTCATTCCCTAGATGGCCACTACTGCCAGGACTGCGGCAGGGCAAAGCCAGGAGCCAGGAACTTCATCCGGTCTCCCTTGTTGGTGCAGGAGCCCAAACATTTGTGCCATATTCTGCTGTTTTACCCAGGCCATTAGCAGGGAGCTGGATCGTTCGTGGAGCAGGCAGGACATGAACTGGTTAGGATGCCGGTGTGGTAGCAGCTTTATCTGCCATGTCACAACACCAGCCCCCACAACAGAATTGTTAACCTCAGCTGGTAGCCACTGTTCCAACTGGTTGAGTGACTTCTGCAACTCTGAAAAGTATAGAAGTATGTAAATTGAAAACTGATTTAATGTTTTCCTGTCGATTCAAGGGCACAGAATGGCACTGGTTTAATGACAAGCATACAGATCAACTGAAAAACAGAGTCCTGAAAAACCTGCATACATGCTCAACAGATTTTCAACAAAAGTACCAAGCTAGTTTAGAGAAAGAATGGCACCATGGCATAGTAGGCTAAGCTTCAGCTTGCATCAATAACATCCCATATGGGCACCAGTTTGAGTACCAGCTGCTCCACTTCCAATCCAGCTCCCTAATCATGGCCTGGGAAAGCAGCAGAGGATGACCAATGCCTTGGATCCCTTCAACCAGCTGGGAGACCTGGAAGACTCCTGGTTTCTAGCTTCAGATAGGCCCAACCCTGGCCATTTTAGGAGTGAAGCAGCAAATGGAAGATATCTAGATAGATAGATGGATAGATAGAAAATAGATATACATCTCCCTCTCTCTCAATAACTGCCTTTCAAATAAAAATAATACAGGGCCTAGTATAATAGCGTACTGGCTTAAGTGCTTGCCTTGCATGTGCGAGGATCCCATATGGAAACCGGTTCTAATCCTCACAGCTCCACTTCCCATCCTGCTCCCTGCTTGTGGCCTGGGAAAGCAGTCGAGGATGGACCAAAGCCTTAGGGCCCTGCACCCGTGGGAGACATCTAAGAAGCTTCTGGCTCCTAGCTTCACATTGGCTCTGCTCCAGCCACTGCGGCCACTTGAGGAGTAAATCAGTGGATGGAAGATCTTCCTGTCTCTTCTATCTGTAAATCTGACTTTTCAGTAAAAATAAACAAATCTTTAAAAATAAAATTAAAATAATAATAAAATAAATCTTTAAAAAAAAGTACTTTGAACTTATAGCTAAATGTGCAAACACATTTGTATAAATCAAACACACTTCAGCTCTAAACTTATCTTTGACAAACAGAAGCTCTGTCTTTTAACTATGATGCTGTTTTCATAAATGCTTATTATCTTAGGACTAAAAAAAAGTATAAATCTTCATTATACAGCTATCTTGTTGGTATGATTTACCATGTTAAAATTTCACATGTCTACTCAATTCACACAAGTGAATTATCAATGTCTGATTTTCTAACATAGCTATAAAACTAATCAGGAAAAAAAATAACCTGCAATGTTGCATTTACATTTAAATAGGATCCCAGGACAGGTATTTGGCCTCAGGTTAAGATGCTAGTCAGGAACTAATTGACATGGTCCATAATGTTGTAAATTGTTGTTGATGTTATGTTGGGGCTTTTAATTGATCGGGATGATATTCTGCCAGGTCTACCTTCAGACCAGAGATGGTCTCCCCAAGAAACCGTTGAATTTATCTGGACAATAAGATTCTGGACTCTATGCTTGGTATATGCTTGCAATGAAAGAATATTGACTGAATTTGAACTGTAATACTGCAACAAGGTGGAGGAATCCACCATGTGGGGAGGGTATGGGGGAATCCCACAGCCTATGAAACTGTGTCACATAATGCAATATAATTAATAAAAAAAAAAAAAAAGGAAAAAAAAAAAGCTGCCAGTCAGGATGTCCTCACTCTGTATTAGGAGGCCTGGGTTTGATTCTGGGTTCTGCTACTGGATTCCAGCTTCCTGAAACTTTGTGTCCTTGGAGGCAGCAGGTAATGGTTCAAGTACTTGGGTCTTTACTATGCCCGCAGGGCACCCTAGATTATCCCAATCCAGGTTCCTGGCTTTGGGCTTGGCCCAGCCGTGGCTATTGCAGGCATTTGAGGAAATGATCCAACACAGGGAAGAACTCTCTCTGTCTCCCCTCTCAAAATTTTAAAACAATCTTAAAATAATAGCGGCCAGCACTATGGCATAGCAGGTTCAAGCAATTGCTTGTAATACTGCCATTCCAAGTCAGAGTTGCTGATCTGAATCCTGGCTGCTCCGCTTCTGCTGGTCTAGCTTTCCTGCTAATGCACCTGGTAAAACAGCGGATGATGTCCCAAGCACTTGGGTCCCAATCACCCTCATGGGAGACTGAGACAACGTTCTTGGTTCCTGAGGAATAAATTCGCAGATGGAAGCTCTCTCTGACATTTGATTTTCCACTAAATAAATCTCTACAAAAAATTAAAAATAGCAATAAGAATCATCTCTGAATTGCAACTAATATTAATACAGAACATTTTGGTAGCAAGGTTTTATCAAATCAAGCCTTCTGGAGAAAATTAAAATGTGTAGAAAAATGACTTTAATTATACTTTAATAAAGTCTACCGCAATAAATGAGAAATTAATCTCTCCCTATGCCAAAACAAATGCAATAAGACAACTATTTTCAAGGATTTTCAAGTTATCTAAAAATTATAACCTACAAGTTAAAATAATCACTTGCAATCTTTTTTTTTAAAGATTTATTTTTATTATTTTTTATTGGAAAGGCAGATATACAGAGAGGAGAGACAGAGAGGAAGATCTTCTGTCCGATGATTCACTCCCTAAGTGAGCGCAACGGCCGATGCTATGCCAATCCGAAGCCAGGAGCCTCTTCCGGGTCTCCCACACGGGTGCAGGGGCCCAAACCTTTGGGCCGTCCTCGACTGCTTTCCCAGGCCACAGGCAGGGAGCTGGAAAGGAAGCGGGGCTGCTGGGATAGAACCGGAGCCCATATGGGATCCTGGGGCGTGCAAGGTGAGGACTTAACCACTTGCGCCACAGCGCCAGGCCCAATCACTTGAATCTTTAAATAATTTACGTGAAAGCTCTACCTGTACTTAAAAAAAAAGTCAGGAAAAGAGATAAATGA